ACAGGGTGTTTCAAGAAATTTGTAACTTTTGAAAAATTTATTACTCACCCATGAAAAAAGTTAGAAAGACAAAATTTGGCACCCGTAATATACAGCCAATATTTATTTTTTATAAAAAATTTTGGGATTTTAAAGTGCATATGAAGGTCGTTATGAATTTTTGAAAAAACTCATTTTCACCCAAATTACACGTTTTTTCAGTTGAAAATCACTTTTTTCATCAAAAAATTCTAAGTTTTTGGCTGTTTTGTCGTTGGAAATGCATTTTTGAGATGAAAATTTTTGTTCTCCGCGTTGGCGGAGCGCTTTAAATCATCGGCGGAGGCCATAACTCGCTACAAACTTTATGGAGAAACTTGAAAACAAAACCGATCTTCCTAAAATGTTATGCGCTATCCCCGATGTATAAATTCTATTGAAATGTTAAGGCAAAAACAAAAATTTTAAAAGCTAGCTTATTATCATCATGAAAAGTCAATTTTTGGTTTATATTTTAAAAAGATAATTATTACAATAAAACTTTGGTGAAATTATAAGTTGCAGTTATTGTTTTGAGTAGTTTTTACAATATAATACTAAAAAAAGTTTAATAAGTAACTTAAACTGCGTAAGTGAAACAGTTATAACTTTTTTAACTATATCTATACCCATAAAAACAACATAACACATCTTGTCTTACTATTTATTTGATTTGACTCTTTTGAGTAACCTTTTGTGTTTACCTTAATATTTCATTAATTTATACATCAAAGGATAGAGCATAAAATTTTAAGAAGATCGGTTTTGGTTTCAAGTTTCTCCATAAAGTTTGAAGCGAGTTATGGCCTCGGCCGATGATTTAAAGCTCTCCGCCAACGCGGAGAACAAAAATTTTCATCTCAAAAATGCATTTCCAACGACAAAACAGCCAAAAACTTAGAATTTTTTGATGAAAAAAGTGATTTTCAACTAAAAAAACGTGTAATTTGGGTGAAAATGAGTTTTTTCAAAAATTCATAACGACCTTCATATGCACTTTAAAATCCCAAAATTTTTTATAAAAAATAAATATTGGCTGTATATTACGGGTGCCAAATTTTGTCTTCCTACCTTTTTTCATGGCTGAGTAATAAATTTTTCAAAAGTTACAAATTTCTTGAAACACCCTGTAAAATCTAGTTCAAGTTAAGCAAAAACAAGAGCTATGAATAAGGCTAGAACTATGACCCAAGGCTAGGACTAGTACTAGAGCTATGGCTAGGGTTAAAGCTAACAACAAGCCTTTGGCTCATGCCCGGTTTTGGGCTAGACCTTAGGCTAGGACACGGGCTAAGACGCAAGATAGGGCTTTGGACTAGGGCTCTGGGCTAGGGCTTTGGGTTAGCGTTCTGAACTAGGGCTCTGAACTAGGGCTCTGAGCTAGGGCTCTTGGCTAGGGCTTGGGCTAGGGTTCTGAACTAGGACTCTAGGCTAAGGCTCTAGGCTCTGGCTTAGGGCTATATGCTAGGGCTCTGGACTAAAGCTCTGGGCTAGGGCACTGGGCTAGGGCATTATACTAAGATTTTTATTTATGTTACACTTGTATTATAATTCGCCTTTTTTAATTTAACTTTTTATACAATCAAGCTCAGCAGTCATAGGTGTCATAATATAAATAACTAAATGAGAAATAGTAAAAAAGCAGCTAAAAAAAGCAAAATTCTTAAACATTTGATTGTAATCGTAAATAACGCGTCGATCCAGTTGTTTTAACATACGAATTAAATTTGGAGTCATCGTTTTATTGAACATGTATATAACTGAATAAACCAAGAACTTGATGTGTAATATAAATGGTATTAACATAAAAATTGGTACCATAGCCTGTAAAGAAAATATTATATCATTGCTTGCAAATAACTAAAAATTCTACCCTACCCTACCCTACCCTACCCTACCCTACTTTGTCATACTCTACCTTATCATACTCTACGTTATCATATTGCATCCTATTATGCTCTACCGTATCCTACCGTAACCTACCGTGTCCAATCCTATCCTACCCTAACCTACTGTGTTCTGTCCTACTTTACCCTGTCTTGATCTGCCCTATAGTAACTTGCTCTTCTCTGCCAAACCTTATACACAGCTTCGCCTTACTCTACTCAATGCTAACTTATTCTACTTTATCCTTCTTTGCTGTACTCTAAATCTTAAACAATATAATTTAATGAATTTTTGTTAAAATTCAAAAAAACTCACAAAGTAGCAATTGTGAATTAGGTACAAAACGTCACAACGAATATAACTTTGAATACATATAACAAACATTGCATACGACATCGTTGCGCTGTAGGTGAAGACAGTTGTAAGCACATAGTTATCAATCTGAAAAATAAAATTTAAAATTTCTCCCCCCCCTCACTTTCTTTCAAGTCTTTTTTCTCTCTCTCTTTCTCTTTATCTGTCTCTCTCTCTTTCTCTCTCTCTCTCTCTCTTTCTTTCTCTCTCTCTCTTTCTCTATCTCTCTCTTTTTCTCTATCTGTCTCTTTCTCTCTCTCTTTCTCTTCCTCCTCCTCCACCTTCTACCTGTCATACTCAAAACTAACTCCCTCTTGTCTCAAATCAACCTAAGTCAATATAACTTCTCTTTCTTTTCTTAAATCTACCCCCACTTACTAAACCCATTATCAGTTGAATTCTTACCATCTTACAACAACTTGCAGCCAAGTACGAACGCTTGTTATTCATAGTATATAGCCCATCATCAATGTTCTGCTCTGTTATGTCGTCAAACTCAGCAAAAGTAGATAACCGATTCATAACAGCAGTTTTAATCAATAATAATCGTTGAAATAATAATGGTTTTTCCATTTTGGACATACAGTCCAGTAAAATAAAATTAGACCAGACTAAATGTGAGCTTAGAAAAGAGCTAAAACTCTGGGCTAGGGCTCTGGGCTAGAGCTCTTTGCTAGGGATCTGACCTAGGGCTTTGGGCTAGGACTCTGGGCTAGGGATCTGGGCTAGGGCTCTGGGATAGGCATCTGTGCTAGGGGTCTGGACTAGGGCTTTGGGCTAGGTCTTTAGGCTAGAGCTTTGGGCTAAGGCTCTAGGCTAGGGTTTGGACTAAAGCTTTGAGCTAAGGCTCTTGATTAGAGTTCTGCTCTAGGACTTTGAGCTAGAACACCGGTCTAGGGATGTGGCCTAGCTGTGGTTTAGTAAAAAATATGATGAGAAAGCCTCAAGGCCAAGGAGCAATTCCTAGCAAACGTTCCTCAGAAGCATAAGTAATGACAAAGCTGTAAAACATTTGAAGCGCTGTCTCATTTGTCTTATTATATTATTATATATTTGGCCTTCTTAAGCAATGAGTAACGGCCAACAATCTAAAATATTTCTTATTTTTTTAAACTTGAAAGGGGGCCTACTGAGTCTGGCTAGACTTCGTCTTTTATATTGAAGTAATTTATAGAAGTGTTATACAAGATCTCAACTTTATTAGCCATTAGAGCCAAAAAGTTCCTACTGGAGCGGAAGAAAGCTACCTTCAAAGGAACAGGCGGCACATGTGGAACCGAAGGCCAAGCTCAAACGAGAGTTCCGGGGCTAGTTTGAGCTAAGCCAGATTATGTTCCGCAACAAAAGATTTGACTAGCAAAAGCGTATACCATCAGTGGGATTTTTGGTCTAGAGGCAGTGGACGGAAAAATCGGCCTGGTCCTGCATACCATATCTGATTTTCAGCCATTTTTTAGTGTATTTTTTAAAACATTATTAAACATTAAAATTATAAAAGTTTTGGTTATATCGAGCACACAAGCAGTACAATGCGAGTCGCCTGAGTTATTGTTGTAACAACTTTATATTAATAAATATATAAAAGGCTGAGTTGTGTCGAATATTCCGATTAAAATATTCGGATAACGCAATATAAAGAGCAACTGAAATAGATAAGAAACTGATTGAGATTAAGGCTTTGAGAGAAGGAGCCCCGGTAGCTTAATAGGTAGAGCATTCGTCCGGTAAACGAAGGATGCAGGGTTCGACTCCTGCCTGGGCCACTTTTTCTCTCATAGTCTGATATCTCTTTAAATTTCTACAGTTGAAGCAAATTTTAAATTGGCCCCAAAAGGTTGCATATGTGGCCTTCAAAGCCGAGCCGATAGCGTTTGAAATATCGCCATGAACCTGGCATTATGTCTTATCGTGGCGGGACCAAAAAGAAATTCTCGCGTAAAATATTTTCAGAATTTTTTTTTCATGGATAATATCGATGAATCTCCTTGATTCCACAATAAATTGCTGTTGTAGCTATCGTCTCTGTGTTTTAAAATGCTATTGCCGACTCGAGTTTACCAGATTTTATCTGAATTTATACTTTTATGTGATAATAGTGCACTTTTCGGTAACGTTTTTCGAACTTTTGCCAGATTCAAGGTAAAGCAACTTTAAATGTTGATTGGCAAGTATTTTTTATAATATTTATGTTGTTTTAAATAAATAATCAATTTTTTAGACATCCGCCATTACGTTTCAACTGTTTTGATGTGGTTTCGCGCTTCAATGTTGTTATAGCGCAATGTCGAGCTAAAAGATGAAAGCTCGGGCCGTTTTTGGAATTTAAAACTTACAGAATGGCTGGAGAAGATTTTAAAGGATGTTTTTAAACCGTTGCGGACGATTCTGTTTTAAAAAGCAGGCTAAGGAAGGATTTCTGCCAGATCACAGCAAAAACAAGATCAACAAACGATTCGCAAGTGTTTTATTGCCGTTTTTGTTGTTTTAGGTAGAAAATTATATCAACTTTACTCTACCTTACTTTAGTTCACTCAGCCTGGATCAAGGATTGGCAAGGAATATGTGTAGAACATTGTTCTTGATCACTGCAATTATTTTTAGTTTTTTACCTAAAAAATCAAAAAAATGAATCTAAACTTTTTCGAATTTATGCAAATTTTTTCAAGTTTTCATTTTGAGTCAAAAATCCGCTCATTCTTCAGTTATACGCGTGAAACCAAGTGAGGAGCGGTCGTTCGAACATGTCTGACGTCTCCGTTTACTCTGAAAAGCCTTCTGAATGCTCCGTCGAAATGGGTAAGTTGGGGTTTGGTGGAAAGTCTTTGGAATGGGTATGTTGGGAGTGGAAAAAAGTTTTTGCGTATAGTGGCTTACTCTAAGAAAATTTAGGCTTATTTTGAAAATTTTTTGGTTTTTAAATTAGATTTTTTTTTCTAAATTTTTAGGCTTTTTATCATTTTTAGGCTTATTTTAAGAGTTTTAAGACCTTTTTTGCTATTTTTATGCTTTTTTTGTTTTAAAATGCATTTTTTCAATTTTAAAACTAATTTTTCAACTTCAAAACCCCACTTTTCAGAAGAACAGCTAAGTACAGGAAGCATCTCCCAGTACTCGTACCCACCGTCCGAGTGCTCGGTGGAGATCGGCGGTGTCCTTAAGAATCTGACCGGACCTCTGCCCGACTTTGAGAATCTGGAGCTGAGTTGCGAAGAGATGACCTGCCTCTCGGACAGCTTTGAGGAGCCGCTCCAGCTCACCGACTACCTGAACACGGCCTTCTCCGAAGTGGCGACGGGCCGCGACCACCACGATGACTACTTGAACACCGCCGCCAGCGACGTATCGACCGGTCGCGACGAGCTTGACGACTACTTGAACACGGCTACAGCCGACGTGCTGACTGGGCGTGAACGGCCTCAGCTGACTGAATATTTGAACACGGCTACGGCTGATGTGTTGACTGGACGGGACGAGATGGACGACTTTTTGAATACAGCCGCTTCTGAAGTTGCTACGGCTCGTGGAGAAGGCGATGTGCTGACGGACAAGGAGAGCGAAATTGGGCTGGAAGAGCACGATCTGATGACTGGCATCAGCCTTGGTGGAAGCAAGGGTAAGTTATTGATGAATTGAAGGGTTTGGTGACAATTTATGCGATAAAAGATAGTTTTGGTCGTGTTTTGTTTTGAAAAGAAAGTTCTTGCTATTTTTTGTTCTGTAAAGAAAGTTTTTGCTATTTCATGTTTTGTAAAGAAAGTTTTTGCTATTTCATGTTTTTTAAAGAAAGCTCTTGCCATTTTATGTTTTGTAAAGAAAGTTCTTGCCATTTTATGTTTTGTAAAGAAAGTTCTTGCCATTTTTTATTTTGAAAAGAAAGTTCTTGCCCTTTGTGACTTGTAAAGAAAGCTCTTGCTATTTTTCGCTTTTTAAAGAAAGTTCTTGCCGTTTTAACTGTAAATTTTAACAAGTTTTTATTTTTTTACCTTTAGGCGTCGACACTGCTCTTCAGCGCACCGACTCAGTGATCACTGGCCTGAGCTTGGACAGCCTTTCTGAGTATTCGGACTACGAAGACAACTACTACACCGAGACAAATGTGGAAGTTGATGGACAGCTTGGCCTGTATCCTCAATGTGAGTTATTGTATGTATATCAGGTGCCGACATAAAGAACCCACTATCAGTGTTTTGCCGGTCCGGTCCGGATTTTCAAAAATTGCAAAATTGAAAATAACTTTTTAGCTTATATTTTAGAGTTTTAAAAAATAAATAACTTTTGTGAAGGTCTGTCTTTGGTTATCAAGTTGTTACCGAAATGGACCGCCCGGACCGGCAAGACCGATTCGGCCCGGCCGGTCCAAATGTTTAGCGAGGAACTGGTATGAGACGGACCTTCACAAAAGTTATTTATTTTTTAAAGCTTCAAATTATAAGCTCAAAAGTTTTTTTCAATTTTGCAATTTTTGAAAATCCGGACCGGACCCGGTCCGGCAAAACACTGCCCACCATACTTGGATGAAAGCCCTTTGAAAAGTCATTTTTGGGCATTTTTTAAGATTTTTTTCAATTTTTATAACTTTATGACGCCTTAAGGTCATTTTAGATATTTGCGACATTTTTAAGATGACGTTTTAATTTTATAGTATTTTTTTGAAATTTGACACTATCAGACCTTATGACATTTTTAAATAAATTTTTGATTTTTCAGCCTACATTTCCAAACTCGAAGTAGAGAACATTTACACTCCAGCTCCAACCGCCTTGAGTCAACCCAATGCCGCTTCAGAATATTATTAACAAATCTCTGGCACACACCTTATTTTAGATGGAAATAAACCGATTTTGATAATTATTTTGAATTTTTGTGTTGTTTTTATTTTGTGGCTCATTATTTTTTATATTTTTACTTTTTCTGGCTTGTTATTTGTAGTAGGCAGGGGCGGACGGGGACTTTTGGTCCTCGGGGCGGGTGTCAAAAAAATCAGCACAGGTGCGCCTGGCCCTGGTCATAGAACAAACACAGTCTTTAAGCTGACATTGGTCTAGAAGAAAATTTAGCTGGGCTTTATCTGGCTTGCCTAGGTCTCTGGTGTCTTATCTAGCCTACTTTAGCATTACTAAATGTTTTACTCTACCTTACCTTTATCTTATTCTTTTTACCTTGCCCTACTCTAGCCTTACCATTCGTTATACCGTACGCTATTATTGCCTTACCAACTGTAGTGAGCTAGATATCTAATAAAAAAATAGATTGTTCATGGTACTTTGCCACTGTGCAATGTTATGGTATGTAAAAGTGACAGGGAAAGTATCCCATCTTGTCGAGCTCAAAATTTTTATATTAGTCCTTTGTATTACATATAGTACTCATAAAAAATTTTAGCTTACGCTTTTGAGTTTTAGCTTGTAAATAGTTAAATTTTTCGTCAATTTGGCAAATTTGGCACAGTGTTTCAAGCACTTTTTTCGACTTTACAGACAAGCTACGCTGACAAATTTAAAAATGCAGGTTTATTTAAAAGTTTTCTACTAGTATATCATAGAAAAATGATTAAAAGTCAAAACAAGAGAAAGTTATAAACTTGAAACACAATGCCAATTTGGCGGGAAATTCAAAACAATTTTTAAATTTAGATTTTCTTGGCTTTGACTGGAAAGTTTGGTTCAGTACTTTGTTCAATATGTTATATATACATGATTTCTCTAAAAAGTTTGAAGGCAATCATAGCGAGGCAGGTGGAGCAGTTTCCTTGCGGATAAGGTCACAACCGAGTCGATAACAGCCGTTTGGATCAATAAGAATCGTCGAAGGAAAAATGGTTTTCTTTTTTTTTAGTTTGAGCTTTTAATAACAAACAACACTTATATATAACTTTTATGAGCTTTGACGCGCCAATTCAATGGCATCTATTAGGTCTGCTTCGATTTGGCATTCTTAATAAACCATCATTCTTCAAAAAGTCTATCTTTGTTTTCGTTTCTAATTTTAAAAATGAAAAAACCTTCACTTATCCAACGGTTGTTAATGTTCCAAACAGCCGTTATGGACATGTTGGTTAGTGCGTTCTGGTCTGTGTTCTGGTCTGAGGACGTACCAGACCACAACATTGAACAATGGCCAAGGACGATGGATGGCAAGTCTTCTTATTGGACTTCAAGCTTATTGAGAATGGTAAGAATATCACATATGAGAATATTTTTGAGCAATTTTTTAAGGAGGGAGGGGCGGGGGTCGAAAAAATTTTTTCTAAAAATGCACAGGGGGGGACCACGTTCAACTTTTTTCGAAAATGTTTTTTTCCTGTGAGGGGGGGGTCCCCCCCCTTTTCCTGGAAAGCGCGATTCAATCCCCCCCCTATAAAAAATTTTTTGAAAAACTTATGCCGATTTTTTGGACCCCTGCCCCCAGACCAAATGTCACCGCCGGGCCCTGAACACAATACCAAATTTAATACAATGAAGACTTAACTGTTATGCTTATACAATAAAAAAACACGGAGAATAAGCTAAAAATAAAAATTTTAAATAATTTAACCGCAACATAGAGAAAACGACCGGTAAAGTTTTGTAGAACTTTTGGCGCACCTTGTATTAAAATTGGTGGTTACTTTTTAAATTTAAAAATATTTTAATTTAAAAACTCAAAAGCGAAAGCTAAAATGTACTATTGGTAATGTAATAAACAACAAAAAAATTTTAAAAAAAGTTTTGTAACAGAACTTTTGGCGCACACTGTATTAAAATTGGTGGTTACTTTTTAAATTTAAAAATTCAAAAGCGAACGCTATAATGTGACTAAAGCTTTTGAAGATAATTGTATTAAAAGTTAAATAAAACTAAGAGTATTCCTATGGTTAATGCTGAGTGTTCCTATGGTTAGTCAAGCTAAGAGTGTTCCTATTGTTAATCTACAGCTTCTTTTCTTAACGAACTGTTATTCTGCCAAGCCTTCCTTAAAAGCCATGCTCATCCTGGTACAACAATTTGTAGTAAACCTTATTGTGACATATAATACCACAAATGTGAAATTTCAAAAAAAAATCAAAGTAACTATTGAAGCCGGTTTATTTCCATCTAATGTAAGGTGTGTGCCAGAGATTTGTTAATAATTTTTTAGCGGCATTGGACTGGCTCAAGGCGGTTGGAGCTGGAGTGTAAATGTTCTTCACTTCGAGTTTGGGAATGTAGGCTGAAAAATCAAAAATTTATTTTAAAATGTCATAAAGTTCTGCAAATGTCAAAAAATTTAAACAAATTCCATAAAATATTTTAAAAAAATTGAAATGTCAGAAGTATCCAAATTGACATCGAAAACATCTTCAAATTGTAATTTTTAAAACATTTTACTCTTATTTTTGTCTACTTCGGTTAAGGCCAACAAAAAATAGCAAAAACGTTCTTTACAAAACAAAAAAACGGCAAGAACTTTCTTTACAAAGCATAACACAACCAAAAATATTATTTATCGTATAACTTGTCTCCAAAAAACCCTCAGTTCCTCAATAACTTACCCTTGCTTCCACCAAGACTGATGCCAGTCATCAAATCGTGCTCCTCTTCCAATCCAAGTTCGCTCACCTTGTCCGTCAGCACATCTCCTTGTCCACGAGCTGTAGCGACTTCAGAAGCAGCTGTATTCAAATATTCGTCCATCTCCTCCCGTCCAGTCAACACATCAGCCGTAGCCGTGTTCAAATATTCAGTCAGATGAGGGCGTTCATGTCCAGTCAGCGCATCGTCTGTGTTCATGTTCAAGTAGTCGTCCAACTCGTCGCGACCGGACGGTACGTCACTGGCGGCGGTGTTCAGGTAGTCGTCCAGCTGGTCGTCGTGGATGCCTTCTTCTCTAGGGTGACGATCTAAAAAAAGATAATTAGAAATTGTTATTTTAAAGAACAGAGGGCTGTAAAAGCCTCATCTGTGCCTCGGTTACACGGTAGTAAGCAACGAAGTTTCTGGCAAGTTTACGAAAACATTGTAAGTAATCATAAAATTAAAAAAACCTTGACCTCCAAGCTCCACCAAGTCTATCTCGTTGCCTCCATTATTTTCTACATTCCGTCTAAGACACCTCCGCCGTTCTTTCAAACAAATCGATATGGCGTAGGCCAACGCCGCCACAACCATCAGAGCAGCACAAAAGTACGTCAAGTAAGTCACGTCAGTCCTACTGACGGTGAACAACGGTGCTTCGACCGCGTTTGCGGTGTTCAGCACACAGTCGCCTACTGACGCAGCACTGTTTATAGCAGTAGCTATATATACAAAAAAAAAGACATGCTGGCAAAAACTTCGCATAAGGAGCAAAGTACTCTTGTCCACCCTAAAATTTAAAACAAAATATTACAAAATAATGCAAATTTAACCACAGTGTCTTAACGGAGCCTAACTAGTGACCTACGTTCTAGCCTAACTAAGCCTGAACCTTAGACTTAGCTTTAGCTCCAGCCCCAGCCCAAACACAAGTCCCAGCAATAGCCCCAGCCGAGCCCCAACCTAAGCCCTAGCCTAAGCTCTAGCTAAAGCCTGAGCATTAGCCTAAGCCTTAACTACTCGCTTAGCCTCCTTTACTTACCGTATTACTGAAGGTGACGAATAGAAACGTAGTAAACGCACACATTAAGTTTACCAGTACCATAAACAAGTGGCCCCACTTCATCCCACCATCGTTATTGAAAAAAACTGAAGCAAGTGTGTAAAACAAAGTGAAAATATCACCGAAGGATCCAACAATTACGAAGATGCGTGAGACCATCTCCGACAACGAAAACATAGTTTCAATATTATGTCTTTGTGCATAAATTGTTGCCACAGAAAAGACAACTTCGATAACACATACGATCTAAAAGTGTTTCATAAATTTTCATAAAAAAGCCAAACACTCTACGACAAGACATATATTTGTATCTGTAATTTTATTTTTTGGTATGACGTGCATCCCAACCAATCAAGACAAAACGGAAGAATTGACAAATTTTATAAACATACCGCAATAACAATGTTTACAATGCCTCAGACATGAGTATTAACCAAAAACTGGACAACCCCGCCAATACACGTCAATATCGTATTTAAAAACATCACAAAGTTTTCCATTCTTTTTACGTGGACGACCGTAACATAATCGGAACGATAAGATATAAGGCTTACTATACGATAAGAGCCGAGGATATAACGATCAATACTATTTACTATACGATACGCGATACAGTAAGGTATATATATGAACCCAATAATCGTAGAAGCCTAAAAATCACGGCCCAAGCGGAGCAGCACGCCACCCCGAACCAATAGAAAACGAATTATTTCCTTTTTGGCATTTTGCCGCATCACGGTCGACTTTAGAATTAAAAGCTGCAATTGTAAAAAACTTTTATGAAACAATGCAATTTTTAAATAACGAAAATCATATATTTTTTAAATATACGTCCTTCATCTGTTCAAATTTACCATTTTTATTTCATATTAATATTGATTGATCTAATGATGAAGAACATCAACGTCCAATTCCTTTTACAAATTTGATTTTTGACATCTTGACTTTACACATGCCGTATCAGTAAAAAACGACGATTAAAATGGTACCAAAAATGTCTATTTATATGAAATCAATTCTCATATTGAAAAGCTTCCTTTCCGATATTATAGTAGGCCATCAGGTTATTTTAGTTTAAAAAAATACTTCTACACTTTCGCTTTCGGTATATAGTTGAATCTTTTATCAAAAATTACCATTTTCGTTATAATCTTGTTACATCAAACCTAAAACATGGGAAAACAATATTAAATACTTACCAAGACACTCTCAAACTCTGTCTCTAATTTACAACAGCCAACAAAATATTATACGGACAAATTGGCTAAAATAACACTTTTGACTGTGTAATAAGTTGATAACTGTTGGTGAAAGAAACAGTTTTTGCTACATTTCCGTTAAAATAGTATAATAAGTTTCCATATCAGCCGAAAAAACCGACCAAAAAAACAAAAAAAAAACGTAAAACGAAATGAAACAAATTATCGGAAAAAGGAATCGATTACGAATCCCTATTTTGACTGATCGGTCGACTTGGGGTGGCGTGAGCAGCCTCTCGCTAAACGTGCCAACCCTCGATTGTCCGTGCTGGAGTCTCCCAAGTCCTTCCATGTGCTGTTCTTCCTCGGGGCAATCATCGACTGAGAGAGCGGGATGCGGCGGAATGCCAAGGATCAGGCTGTTCGTGGTAAGAAGGATCAGGCTGCTCGTGGGGTCAGCGTAGCCCTATGTAGATAGGTTTAAGGATGTGGTATAACTATGACAAGGCTTAGTAAATGCCAAGCCCCTATCCTTCCAAAAAGTTATTACATTCCTAACCTATCTTATTAACCTTGATTACTCTAAAACAACACCCTTCAACCTTTAAAAATAACTATTTATTCATTCAAAGGTTAGAGTCAGTAACCATGCCTTCTGCACTTAATTTAGTCGATTTCGCAGAAATATAAAGTAAGTCTTCTGAAGTCACTTCCTTCATTCCGCTTATGGCATCCAAGCCCGCGGTTACAGTATCCATTGGGTCGAACAATTTGTCCAGAACACTATTCTTCACCTTCAGGTTCAGGCCAACGTCGTACGAGGATTCAAAGTTAGCCGAATAAGATCGTTTCAATGGAGCGGCTTCCGACTTCGACTCTTTGATGGATTCTGACGAGCCGAGACAGGGTTCCGACTTGCAACGGTGGACTAGATTCTGAAATTAAAAATCCTTTAAAAAATATATAAAATAGTGAGAACTTGCTTTACAAAACAGAAAATGTCAAAAACTTTTTTGACAAAAGAGACAAGAACTTTCTTTACATCTCGAAAAACACCAATATTAGAGTTCCACAAAAGTTTTGTGGTTTTAAATCGTGCAAAGCAATACAAATCGGCGACAAGACTTTTGTGGAACCAGCTGAAAAAAATGACAAAACTTACCAACTGTGGTCGAATATTAATAGCCGGACGAAGCCAAAAACTCCAATCAAGCCAGGCTGGAATGGCAAACCAATGAATTGTGGCTGTGACAGCTAGAATGGCCAGGGATATCTGAAATTGAAACGTAATAAGAAAATGAGTTTCGTTTTAAGCCTAAAACTTCACGTTTAAGCCTACAAATTCATTTTAAAGCCTGGAAGTTAATTTTTAAGCCTAAAACATTTTTTTCATTTTAAGCCCAAATGTTCATTTTAGGCCTAAAGTTCCCTTTTTGGCTTAAATTACAACTTTTTAAGAATTTTCAAAGTTTGATATCTAAAACCTCACCTCAGTTCGCATCTTATTGAAATGTTTCGTGAGTTGAAGACCTTTCCTTCCAAAAACTCCTTTGATTTCAGAAGCGACCGGTGCCATTAATGCCAAAAATATCAGGGCATGGAAGGCGAAATAGGCTAGAATGGCTTCGACTGGCATCATTAATGCAGCTGGCAGGAATTTACTCTGAAATTTTAGTGTTTCAGGTTTTAAAATCGTTTAAAAACTTAAAAATTCAATAAAAATTATTAAAAAATGGTCAAAACTAATCAAAATTTAAAAAACTTAAATTTAAAATCTTACCATGATTTTCTTGTTCTGATCAAATATATTTTGGACGGTAATCCCAGTCTGACACTTTTCTTTCAGTCCAACCATCCATCGTATATAGAAAGGGTGCTTCTTCTCCATCAAATCTCAATATCAACCAAAGACTACTAGTACTTTTTACAAAATGACGTTGAAGATCCATTTTCAGACTTTTTATTCGAAATTTGAATAAATTTGTTATAAAATCAAATGTATTTTTAAATTATAAAAAACAATATTCAAACTTCAGAAGCAACGGAAAGAGAGACATTTCACAGGAAGACATGTCTCTTATTGGCATAGCGCGTCACGCTAAAATAATATTTTTTCCGAATCTTTTCGCATTTTCTTGTGAACCACCCCTTTAGAAGCTTTACTCTTGTATTCTGTATAATTTGACATATTTATTATCTTTTACAATGAAGCCGATGCAACCTCAACAGCCTTCTCAACTCGATCATCGGAATTTGAGCGAATATTGGGAAAAAGGTATGTTGTTTTAGTTATTTTTGTTGGAATTTTAGGTTCCTTCTACTTAGATTCAAAAGAGAAATTTGTAAAGAATATTTATTTGGAGTATTACAGGTTTTTAGTTAATAAAATTATGGTTTGTAAGCATTAGAAACGATTTTGGCTATATTTGTGGAAGAATATGTCGTTTCTTTGAAATGTTTTTATTAATATGGCTTAGAATTTAAATAGATTGGTTCAGAATTAGAAGAAAGAGAGCATTGAGAATATTAATTTAGTTAACATAACTTTTCTTGGTATTGACATCACGTTTATTTTGACTTAAGTTGAACATGGGTAATACTAAGTGTTTATTTGATTGAAGAGGCTTTTTTGAAGCCAGTTGTTTAGCGATAACTCTATGATTTTTGACAAAGTAAAAACAATGAATCATTAAGTTAATTACAAAAATTCAACTTGAAATTACTATTTTTGTAAAAGATATGACCTGTTTGGTCAAGTAGTTTACAGATAAAGGTGGAGGTTTTTCTATTGTTTAATATAACTGTTGTTAAGGAGGTACTAGAGCTTTGAAACATGGTGTAGTTTTATGTTATACTTTAACCTACTCAACGATCTATGAGACGTTTTAAGGTTAAAATGAACTTTTATGTTATAGTAGATCTACGAAGCGCTTCATTTTTATTTTGAGGAGTTTTATCAATTGAACTTTGAGAATTGAACACCTTGAGGTTCAAATCTCATAAAATTTTTATTTTATTTTTTTTTAGATCGCCAAACATTAGGCCGGCTTCGCTCAATGGTGATGAAGTTGAACGAATTTGTGGAGAAAAGTTGTACTGGAAGCGAAGTAACAGTTGACGAAGTTAAAGCAAAGTTCACCAAGCTTGGAGAACGGATTGATAAAGAATATGAGTCCGTTTATTTTAAAATACTGTTATATTAACTTTAAGATAAAGTTTGTTAATTTGAATTTGTAAATTTAGGTCGATGGAGACCACAGCGATGAAATTCGCAGCTTCAAGTTTAGACAATCATAATCAACAAATGAACCGACTGAATTCGTTTCTAATGGAAAGTCTGTGTGACACTGGAACTAAGGGGATGTACGAGAGGGCTCAGAAGTTTACTACTAACATGGAAACTACAATTGTATGTTGGTATTAGGGATGGCAGATTGAAAAATGTCAAAATTAGTTAATTTTTTTGAAAATATTGCTGTTATTATTGTTTTTGTCATAACTTTTTTTAAAATGTTGGTATAGACGTGAAAATTTAATTGGTGATACACTATTTATTGGTTTAATTAATGGTTTTAAAATTATTTTGAAATTTGGCAAAATTTGGAAGTTACAGTAGTTTTACCGTACTCTATTTTTTGAAAATTTTATAGAAGTTTTTTTAAAACAAAATGAAGTGTTATACACGGTATTTGGCCGAGAATATGATTGCTACAATTTTTATAACATTTTAAATGTTTTTTATTTAGAATTACCTAAATTACTCGCACGAGTTCATGAAAAACACAGCACCACCTTCTTTAAGGCCCAGGCGAGTCGACGATCGAATTTTGCACGATATAAGCTTCAAGAATCAGAAAGCGTTTGAAGAGGTAAGCTGTATTGAATTGCTAAAAGCTTTTTATATTTGACTCTGATGATGGACAAAAGATGGGTTTCGACTAAAAACATAATTTTTTTTCAATTTTCAGGCGTTTGACCTGTGTCTGCAAATGAACCGTCGAATGTGCCTGCTTTGGCTGGAAAAGAGTCAGTTCGGTGGTCTTTTGGAAGTGAAAATTCGTCAAACCGACCGCCAAAACCGCGAGTACGTCTGCCTTCAAAAACTCCTATTTGTCGTCTACAATGGCAGCTTTGAGTACGTGCACATTGTAGCACCATTCGAGGACTACGTGTACCAAGATGAGAGCAAAAAACGAGTGGACTTGAGTAAGGAGAGCAAGTACGAGATCTACCGTCGCATCACCCACCACTCCAACATCACATTGTCAGTGATCCCGTCCCAGATCGACATGCGCAACTACATCATGCACACGATGCAACATTTCTCAAAGTCAACTCAGCTCGACGAGCCGTGTTGTCAGTGCAAGAAGAGGCTAAAAGACTTTCAACCGGTCATTTCGGAAACACGCTTTCAGAAAAGGGCTTTTCATGAAAGTTGTCGCTAAAGAATGGCAGTACCTTGTTATCTATTGTAAAAAATGGCATGTAATGATAAGTTGTGGTAAAGAATGGCATTATTTTGTTATTTATGGTAAAGAATGGCATTTTGTGATAAGTTATGATAAAGAATGGCATTTAAACATAATTTGTGATAAAATATGGCATATAATGATAAGTTATCCTAAAGTATGGCATTATTTGTTTATTTATGATAAAGAATGGCATGTAGTGATAAGTTGTGATAAAGAATGGCATGTAGTGATAAATTATGATAAAATATGGCATATAATGATAAGTTGTGATAAAGAATGGCAGTATTTTGTTATTTATGATAAAGAATGGCATGTAATGATAAGTTGTGATAAATAATGGCATGTAATGATAAGTTGAGATAAAGAATGGCATTGAAAGTAAATAATTTCAGAGTTGTGATAAGGTATGGCGTTTTTTATTAGTTTTTAAATGAAGGGTGGCATGTAAAGATAAAGTAGGGTATTTAATCATAAGTTATGATGAAGAATGGCATGCAGTATCGTGTAAAGTTTAGTGAAAAAGACTTTCTACTGGACCTGAAAGGAGCCCACTAGGCCCGGGTCGGCACGTGTGGGCCGGGGTTTAAATCAAAGGCATAGCTTACGTCTGACCGGCCTTGTTTACTTAATAACTAACATTTATAGAAAGATTTAATACCCAATTCAAATTATTCAATTACAAAACGGCTTTATTAATATCTATCTCAAACACAAAAAGGTCAGTGAATACTCGAAAACATGTACAAGATTTAGAAAAGGGTTCGCTTCTTGATCAAATAGTCTCCGCCGAGCGAGTCCAGGATCCGTTCGCGTTTCACAGCCCGCTTCTCCAATCGGCCCACCTGGATCTGGTCCATCGGGACTTGGCCATACGTGTCGGGCCCCAGTCTCAACACCAGCATATTGCGCTCGGCTAGGGGGCTGGCCTGAAGAGTTTTTATTAAAATTGAAATTTTTACTTATTTTAAACTACAGTGCAGTAAGATTAGTTGCTATTTAACATAAGGTATGTTAAGATAGGTTAGAGCAGTAAAACGGTAAAAGTAGGGCTAAGATAAGGACAGATTGCGGCAGTATTAGGGCAAAGCCAAGATGTTTTAGGAGAGATACGGTATGTTACGGTAGAGTAATCTAGGCTTGGCTAAGGCAGGGTAAGGCCGATTGCAGTAATATTAAGGCTATCACTAAGCATTGTAGGTAATGGTATGAATAGGAAAAGAGTAGGATGAGGGTAGGGTAGAGTAGGGTAGGGTAGAATACTCTACATTAAAGTAAAGAAGAGTAAAGTATAATATGTTTGGATTACTGTAACATGCAGAAAATTAAAAATATTTAAATTTTTCGAACACAGCCATAATTTATGCATTTCCATGCCCAGACAGTAGATAATGTAACAATGCCGATTAAGTGTCTCCAACACTCACGTTGAAGCCAATTATGATAATGTAATTGGAAAACAAAATACTTTTTCTTATTGTTTTTCTGGTCTGTAGACAAAAACATTTTTCAAAAACAAATGTTTCGAAATAAGAATGACATTTCTGAGTATTTACCCTAAGGTTTTGGAGCACAAAAGGACAAGGAATAAATTTTTAAAACGCTTAAAAAGGTTTTGAATGGCGATGGTATATAACTATTGCGTGGTAAAAAATATAACTATTGTGTAGTAAAATAAGTGATACTAGACCTAGAGGCTTGACCTGTACTAATATTATAGTATTAGGCTTTTTTCGATTTTACTATTGTATTTCAAACAAAAAACAAAACAAATAGTAGTTTAACTTCTATAGAGTAATGTAGAACAAAGTAAGGTAGGATTATTATATTATACATACGATAGAAAATAATAAAATATAAGTTCTGTAGGTTACGGTTTGGTAAAGTAGACTACGATAGTGCTAGGACAAGGCTAGGGTAATGTTGGTTAAAGGCATGTTAATAATCGGACACGACAAAATAATTTAGCGTAAAGAAGGCTTCTGCTGCAGCTACATATGGCTAGAATTACAGCTAAAGTTAGATCTATGGATAGGGATAGGACTAGAGGTATCGCTAGTACTGGGGGTAAGGCTTGCGCGAAGGCTAGGACTAAAGGTAGAGCTAAAGCTAGGGCTGGGACTAGAGGTAGGGCTAAAGCTAAGGCTAGGACTAGATGTAGGGTAAAGCTAGAGCTGGGACTAGAGGTCGGCTAAAGCTAGGGCTGGGACTAGAGGTAGAACTAGGGCTGAAACTAAAGCTAGGGATATGACAAGAAGTAGGACAATGGCTAGTGCTAGGGCTATGGCTGAAGCTAAGGATAGAAAGAACTAAGACTAGGTCTAGAGGTCAAGCTATAGCCAAGGCCAGGACGTTAAGGCTAAGATTATGCTTAAGGTAGGGCTAAGACTAAAGTTAAGGCTAGTGGCAGAAGTAGAAGCCGAGGCTAAAACAAGAGCTAGTGCTAAGTATGGGTCTAGTTCTATGACTGGGGCTTTATCTCAAAGGCTAAGGTTTAGGCTGCACCTAAATCGTTGTTCACTTAACTCTGCGCCCCTTCCCAAACCTAATTTGTGGGGTACGGGAGCGCAAAATTATGTAAACAACCTAATATAATTACGAGTAATGTAGACTAAATAGAGTAAGATTTTCATTTTCATTACAATCCTAATTTCAAGTAAGTCGGCTTAAAATGCCCCTGGACAAAAATAGAAAACAGTGCTAATGCTTTTGCTAAAAGTTTTCTTGCAGTTTATATATATTCAAATTACTACGGTAATTAAGAGATTTAAAATTTTAAAAAGGTTTTTAAAAAAATTTAAAAAAAAATTTTTTTAATTTTGAAAATATGCAAAAATATCAAGATTTACAAAATTTTACCACACCCCCGTACCTGTGTCACGCTGAACATAGCGAGAACGCTGAAGACGGCGGCGAGAAGCGAACGCAGATCCATTTTGGGCGGTTGTGTGATAGGCGCTTCTCTCTGTCTTTCCCAACTAAAAACGACACAAATATAATAGTAACGGACAAACGAACCGAAATGGGCGGAACGATACCTACAAGAAGCTTCAGAACATAACAACAATACTGTAGGATATCTATTAATAAGTAGGGTAGGGTAAGATTTGAAATTGAGTAAACATGAGAAAACAGTAGGTAAGGCAAGGCAGAAGTAGGGTAACATTCAAAATAGAGTAAACATATCAAAAGGCAATGGGTAGGGAAGGATAGGGTATGGAAAGGTATGTTAGGGCAAATAGGGTATTGTAATTTATGTTTAGGTAGGGTAGAGGAGCACAGGGTAAAATACGGAAGAGCAGAGTAAGACACATAATCGAAAAACAGAGCAGGGCAACGTAGCGTATGCTAGGTTAAAGTAGGGTATTGTAAGGCAGAGTAGGGCACAGCAATGCAAGGTAACGGCAAGGCAAGGCTAGTCAAGGCAAGGTAAGGAAAGGCCGATCCGAATAGACAAGGTAAGGCAAGATTCAAACTGAGTGAACATCTTATAACACAGTTCATATGTAATTGAATTGAATTAGGTTAGAATCGGTTGACAATTTACCACTGGGTTATTTTAATATTCAAACAACATGTTGTGGGCTAACTTTTCGGTTGATTAGGTACGTTAGAAAAGTGCGTAACATTCATAGTTAAACAAATGAAACTACGAAATATAAGGCAAGTAAAAACTAGTCAAAACAGGGCGGGTCTAATGTAAGGCTAAGTTGGGAGTAGGGCAACGGCTATGGTTATGGCTAGGGCTAAAGCTAGGGCTCTGGGCTAAAGCTCTGAGCTAGGGCTCTGGACTAGGGCTCTGGGCTAAAGCTCTGGGCTAGGGATAGGGCTATGGCAAAGGCTAAAAAAGTTGTTTTGGATAATATACCGGCTTATAATAAATATTTTTCTTCTTAATTTGTCAACAAAAGTGCGTTTTGCTAGTTAAAATTAACTATTTATATCATAATATATGATTACTTTGAAACCCTACAGATAAACAAATTTAAATTTCCGTGTCTTATGGATTCTTACATCCCCCATCTTCGCCCTCAAGAAAAACATAAGCTAACTGTAACAAGTTTTTTTCAAGCTCAATGGTGAAAGCGAACCCTACCTTTCCCACCTTCTTACCCAACGTCCTAGCTCACGAGCTTTACCATACATATGCCTCTTCTAGCCATAGTTTACTCGTCTTTACCCTATCTTTTCCTTGTGAATGGCCTTGTTTACTTATAACCTTATTAGAGCTTCATCATACCCAACGCTAGCTCCACCCTAGCCTTACTTTAACCCCTGTCTTAACTCTACCCTAGCATTACTTTACAGCCCAGAGCCCTGCCCTATCCTAAGCCCTAGCAATAGATCTAGCCCTAGATCTAGTCCTTGTCCTAAGCCCTACCCCTGGCCCCAGCTCTACCCTAGCCCTAGTCCTAGCCTAAGCCCTAGCCCCAGGCCTTAGTAATAAGAGGTAACTCTACCTTACCTTAAATTACCTTACCTTACCTTAAATTACCTTACCTTACCTTACTATACTTTACTTATGTTATCTTACAGAAGCATTAGCCCTAGCTTTCCCTTAGCCCTACCACCCCCCCCCCTTTTGCTATAAAATTACGATTTCCAGTCTAAAAACACTGTAAAACCACCGCCCACTCCATCACTCATTCTCGCTACACACTAAAGTCCAGGTCGCCGTGTTTCCAGATTCGTCGTACTATGTAGCTGTTTACGTCGTATTTTATACACCCCACTTCCATAAACATTCATCATTTCGAGAAACCGCCCCATAAAAGTTTAAATCCCATCTGCGCAGACTAGCTAGATTATTTTTGTGGCTTCTATTTTGGACTAATTGAAAATGAGGTTTTAAGCGTTTTGTTTTCGAGCCAAAAGGTTAGAATTAGCGGAATTTGATATAGTCAGAACGAAAGGGCATGGGAGAATTCAATTACTGTACAGAAGCTTCCTAGAATATTCAAAAACTTTGAAAATGATCTTAAAAAATTTAATTGATGACATAAGACAACAAAATTGTTTTTGATAGTACAATGTATCCTACTCTAGCCCTAGCTTTAGCTCTGGCCCTATCAATAGCCCTACCCCGGCCCCCCAGCCCAAGGATTAGTCCTAGCCCTAGCCTTAGCCTTAGACTTGGCCTTAGCCTTAGACTTAGCTTTACTCCTAGACTTAGCCTTAACCTTAGCCTTAGACTTAGCTTTAGTCCTAGCCTTAGCTTTAGCCTTAGCATTAGCCTTAGCCTTATCCTTAGCCCTAACCCGAGCCATAGCTCTAGCCTAAACCTCAGTAATAGTCCTACTCCTAGACCTAGTAATAGCATCAGGCATAGCTTTAGCCTTACTACTCTCTTTATAGCCTAGCTGTACCCTAGCCTACCTTTCACTTTCTAAATCTCGTCCTTGCTCTACTCTACCCTAACTACACTAACATAGCTCAATCTTGGTCGTATCTTAGAATTATCTTATTATACCATACAGAAGCATTAGCCCTAGCCCTAATCTAATAATATAGCTCTAGCCCTTGCTTTTCCTAATCTTAACATAGCATTAGTTCTTAACTCTCGCCCTTGCTCTACTCTACCTTACCCTACCTTACTCTAGCAATATCACCTAGCAATACCGTAACACTACCGTATCCTACGCTACTTATTATAACTCTACCATAGCTAACCTTACCGGGAGCGGGACTTTTCGGGGAATGCAGTTTCGGGGAATGCATTTTCGGGGAAGACTTTTCGGGGAATGGACCTTTCGGGGGATGGACTCTTCGGGGAATGCATTTCGGGGAATGTACCCTTCGGGGAATGAACTTTTCGGGGAATAATTTTTTTAAATTTTAAATTTAAAAATATTTTATAAAGTTAGTAAAAATAGATTTAAATTTAATTATAAAAGTTTCTAGATTAAAATTTTAAAACTATAAATTACGAAAAATTAAAAATTCCAAGCATATTAATCAATATATTATTTTATCAATTGTAAAGTAAATGTGATTTAAAAGTTTGTAAGATGTAAAAGGGTAAAAAAAATAATTTTTAAAAAAAGATGCCCTAAAGTAAAATTTAATTTTTTTCTGAATTTTTAAATTTTATCAATCTTTTTAAATAATGTAAAAATTTTAATATGACCAAATCACATTACACTCCCTGACTGAATCACATGTAACTTTATTAAGTATCGTTAACGTTGACATCGTACCATGAACGTTCCTATGACACTTTTTGAATACTTTTTACACTGTAGGATGTAAATGTAAGGCCGCATGCTAAATAGAGTACTGTGAAAATCGTACCGTGCCGTGAACGTTCAAATGTTATTATTTTTGAAGTACGATTATAATTTACTATCAGATGTTTTTGCGAACCAAAAAAAGCTGTAACATTAGAACGTTCACGGCACGGTACAATAACTTTCACAGTACTCTACCTAGCATGCGACCTAACATTAAAAGCATACAAAAAAGTGTCAAAGGAACGCTCACGGTACGATGACAACGTTAACGATACTTAATAAAGGCACATGTGATTCAGTCAGGGAGTGTAATGTGATTCGGTCATATTAAAATTTTAATCTAGAAACTTTTATAATTAAATTTAAATCTATTTTCACAAACTTTATAACATATTTTTAAATTTAAAATTTAAAAAATTATTCCCCGAAAAGTTCATTCCCCGAAGGGTACATTCCCCGAAAATGCATTCCCCGAAGAGTCCATCCCCCGAAAGGTCCATTCCCCGAAAAGTCCTCCCCGAAAATGCATTCCCCGAAACTGCATTCCCCGAAAAGTCACTAACCCCACCTTACCCCACTATGTATAACTTTACCATAACTCACCGTGCCTCACTATGATTAACTCTAACTTAGCTCACCCTACCATACTATGTATAACGTACCCATAACCTTCCTTTCCCTTTAATCTAACCCTTCTCTCCCCTCCCCCCCTTCCCCACACCTTTTACAAAACCACGTCAATCTCCGAGTCTATAACCTTTGTTTATCATCAAAAATCAAAGGTAATTTTAGTCCAGCTTGTCCCAAATTCTGACAAATTTTCGGTTATGACCACGCAATTTTTAAGAATTCAAGCAACATTCTCCTTTTGGGTTTATTTATTAGGCACGAAAACAACTTTGCGGCCGAAAGATTTACGACTTCGACGAACAAGAAGGTCGCTTATTAAGAAATGCATTTAAAGCCCATTTAAATTGTTTTATTTGCAATACTAATGAAACTGTTACGAGTGCACTTTTGTCTCGTACTGCCCAAGTTTGTCGCGAATTTTGGTGTGATCTATGTTTAGAAAATTTGCATAAAAATAAAATTAACTGCCATTTTACACTACCATACCCTACCCTAACCTACTCTACCCTACCTTACTTTACCCTACCCTACCTTACCCTACTCTACCCTACCCGATCCTACTGTATTCCACTCTACCCTCATCTAAAGTACACCGCCTCTCCACTCTACTCTCTGGCGTACCCACCAGAAAAAGAAAAGTAAACAAGCTTGTACTATATAGTACCAAAAAAACAATAGCACACAGTACTAAAAAACTTAATGGAACACTTCCCTGCCCTTCTCTACTTTAGTACCCAGCTTTACCCATATCATCCTACCCTTCCGTACCTTGACACAAAACCCTGTTCTACCCTACTTTACAAAAAAAGCTCGTACTATACAGTACCAAAAAATCAAACAAACTTAATAAAAAACGAAAAAAAACGGAACCAAAAAGTATTAATACCCCTGGTACTATATAGCACTGAAAAGACTTACAAGAGAAAACCAAAACTAAAAAGCTTTTTATCACATTACAACTAGTATAATAGCTACAGTGTACAATAGAATGCATTATATAGTACTTTAAAAACCATTTAGTATTCAGTACTAATCCAATACTAATCAAACAAACAAACAAAAAAATTTTTATATAATTTAAAAAAACTTGAAGCCTATTAACTTATTTTAGGTATCAAAAGTCTTGTCGCCAACTCTTATTACATATATATAACACGCATAAAAACGCCATTTTAAGACCTTTATTATCGACAAAAAATGGGTTTTATCTTGGCAAATTAGCCGGTGAAGCAGGGCGGCCAGTGCGAAGGTCGTATTCCTGAAGCTCCAGGGCTGGGACAGACTTTTTAGGGCCGGATTCCGATTGAGAACGAGGCTGGCCTGAACCCGATGGAGCTGGATCATTTGGTACCTTGTGCTCGGGAGATCTAAGTACGGCCGTTGTTTGTGCCGGTGATTTTGGTACTGGAGCGAGTAGTTGTTGAACTGAGGCCGGTTTTTGTTGTGCCGAGCTTGGTGAAGCCGCGGGTTCTGGTGCTGAGGCCGCGTCCGCCATGCTGTTCGCAACACTATTGAATTCCGCTTTCTTGGCTGGAATTAAGTGGGTTTAAAGTGTGTTTTAAGTTTAAAAAATCTAGAAAAAACAAAAAAAATACACACACTTTTTTTAAAGGTCCAAAAGTAGCTACAAACCAAAAAAAATCAATTTTCAAATCGAAAAATAACAAAAATCCTCATATTTAATCAAAAAACCCTTACCAACTTCACGAGAACTGTTGTGCGGTGACTGAGCAAATGGGTCCGGCTTGCTGTTATCCATATTCATTGGCCATTTCGCCGAAACAGCATTGTATTTCTCAGTGGTTGGTGCGCTGTGATCTGAAAAATGGTAACATTTTTCATTTTTTCAATTAAAATTTTTCAAAAAATACAATTAAAAATTTTAAAAAATCAAATGTTAAAAAATTTTAAAAATTGTACTAAAAAAAATGCCAAAACAGTACCATAAAGAAACAGTACAGTACTCAGAAGACCAAAATTGTACCAAAAAACGTAAAAAAAGTACCATAAAAGATAAGTACGGTACTCAAAAAGCAAAAATATTTTAAAAAACGCCAAAGCAGCATCATAAAGTACTGGTAAAGTACTCAAAAAGCAAAAGCAGTACCAAAAAAGTATCACGAAGCCCCTGTAAAATACTTAAAGCTCCTTACAGTAAACAAGGAATTTGGCCCCGCCAAGTGAATTTGCTCTCAAAAATATCTCTGTAAAGACAACACCCCTTATAGTAAACACAAAATGTCGGTCCCTTCGGGTTGCTTATATAAAGAGAGTACTGCAGTACCATAAAAGGCCAAGACAGTAACATAAAGTAACAATAAAGTACCCAAATAGCACAAATTGTACCAAAAAATCAGTACAGTACCATAAATAGTACTACTATGTCCTGTCTAACCAGAACCAAAAAATATCAAATCAGTACTAAAAATGACACAGCAGTGCCATAAAACTTCGAAAAAAACCAAAATTGTCATAACAGTACTATCAATAGTACTACCAATTCCCATTAAACCAGTATCAAAAAATATCAGTACAATACTAAAAATAGCAAAGTAGTACTATAAAGTACGCAAAAACCAAAAAAAAATCAAAACCCCTACCTTTAGCCACAATCTTGACATGCTTGTCATCTTTGCCTTCAGACGACTTCTCCTCGTTCGACTTCGGTTCCACTGGCTGAGGTGGAGTTTTGGCCGAGAGTTTAGCCAAAGCCGCCTTCTTCCTTTCCGCCTTCAGGCGATTCTTTTCCCTCTTCTGTTGACGTTGATCCCACTTGCTGCACTTCTTCTTCTTCTTCTTTTTGGGCTTCGATCCCTTGCTTCCGCTCGTCTTTTCATCTGACGATCCCTTCTGCTGGGGCGGTGTTGTGGTGGAAAGGCTGGACAAGTCGGTCTTACTGGACTTTGTCTCGGCTGAACTGTCCTTTTTGGGCTTGGATTCATTGCTTTCTGATGACTTTTCCTCCTTTTCGGCCGCTGGCAGATACGGTGGAGTTTTGGTTGGTAGCTTAGCCAAACGAGCTCTCTGTAGAGCCGCTTCGTCCACTTGATACGGCGGCGTAGTGACTGGTAACTTGGCCAAACGCTCCCTCTGTTGAGCCGCTTCGTCCAGTACCTGGTATGGTGGGGTAGTTACAGGAAGCTTGGCTAAACGAGCTCGTTGTAGAGCTGCTTCGTCCACTAGATACGGTGGGGTCGTCACAAGAAGCTTCGCCAAGCGAGCTCTCTGTAATGCCGCTTCGTCCACTTGATACGGTGGAGTGGTCACTGGTAGCTTGGCCAAACGAGCTCGTTGTCGAGCTGCTTCGTCCACTTGATACGGTGGAGTCGTCACAGGAAGCTTGGCCAGACGATTGTTTCTTTCAGTCGCTTCATCCAATACCTGATAGGGTGGAGTTGTCACAGGAAGCTTCGCTAAACGCTCCCGCTGTTGAGCAGTTTCGTCCACTTGATATGGCGGAGTTGTGACTGGTAGCTTGGCCAAACGCTCCCTCTGTTGAGCTGCTTCGTCCAGTACCTGATACGGTGGAGTAGTGGCCGGTAGCTTAGCCAAACGCTCCCTCTGTTCGGCCGCTTCGTCCCTCTCCACAGCCGGCTTCTGATATGGTGGAGTAGTGGCAGGAAGCTTGGCCAGCTCGTCCGCACTGTCCGACTCATCGGCTGGCTTCTTGTACGGTGGAGTTGTGGCGGGAAGATTGGCCAATTCATCGTACTTGTCCTTTTGTTTCTTGTAGTAGGGCGGAGTTGTGGCTGGAAGGCGTTCCAAATCTAACTGTTCCTTGCTCTTGCTTCGCTTCTTCGATCGTGAGCCCTTGTCTGACTTGGAGCTCTTGGACTTTGATTTGGAGCTCTTGCTCTTGGTCGAAGACTTGGTTGAACTGGTCGATTTTGACTTTTTGCTCTAAAAAATGTGGGTGTAGGTAATATTCAAACTACTCTTCTCAGCAAATTTAAAAACTTCAAATTACCAATCATTGACACCTAAAAACCTACCGACTTGCCAGATTTCGATTTTCCTTTCGAAGTTTTGCCTTTTCTGTGCTTCCTGGCGCGTACCTTCTTCCTGCTCTTTGAACTCGAACGCCTTTTACCCTAAAAATGGCTAGATATCTCTATACTATCCAAAAAATACATATAACACTATATGTATACATGTAAAGTCTAAAATTCTTCTATATCTCTCTTACAAAAGCTCAAAAAAAGAAATGTCGTTTTTGACCGTGAAAAACTGTGTAAATTGACGACAAAACTTTTGAAACCCGTACAAATCCTAAAAAAGCTAAAGCTATAGATAACAAGGATAATAATATGAACAAAAACCATGGATATCAAGCCTAATACGCACAACAATCTATAGACGTCAAGTCCAATATAAGCAAAAACCCATAGCTATCAAGTCTAATATAAACAAAAACGTACCATAACCGAAGGCGCCGTGCAAAGATGGAACGCCTTCAACAAGTTGGCAACCAACAGTAAGACACACAAGATAAACATGAGCCATATCAAGGTGTTGAGCTTGCGCTCTTGCTCCACCGCCATGTCTGTGTTCATCATTCTTTCCTTATACGTCGACGACTGGCTCCGACCGAGGTTCTACGCATAAATGAATGGTTTTCGCGGCTCGAACGCATTTTCAACAATTTTCGAAATTTGCATAAAATTGGAAATTAGAAAAATTTAATTTGTATTTTAGAAATTTGCATAAAATTCAAAAATATAACGAAAAACACGAAAATTTGAGTCCTAAAACATGATGCAAAGGTTGATTACCTAATGTCAAATAAATCAAATTAACTTTAACCACTTACCAAAAGTTTACCAGACTTCAAGACACCCTTTCATTGTCTATGCTACCATTCAATGCCTAAAAACCACACAAAAACTTTAAAATCCTACCCATCAGTTTATATTATCCTTGCTTCCCCTCAATTCATCATATTTCTATACTAGAACATTAGTTACACTTAGATTCTTTCACGTAGATCATAAAAAACATCATCAGCAACTTACACAACCTTCACCAAAATTTAAGACATCTTTTCCTTATCCATTTTACTATTCAAAGCCTAAAAGTCAAACAAAAACCTTAAAATCTTACCCGACAACTGGTATTATCCTTGATTCCTTTCCAAAAAACTTGACCTCACTCCAAAACGCCTTTCGTTATCTACGCTACCATTTAATACCTAAAAACCAAATAAAAACACAAAAATCTTACCAATAAACGGATATTATCCTTGCTTTTCTGCCAATCCTCGCAAAATCCAAATGACAATTTAGAATAATTTATGCTTAACACCTTCATTATGATCTTCTGCATCATCTTACAACCAACAACGGCTTCAGAAAAACGTTGTTTATCTTATTCAGATCAACAAGCTCTAAAACCCTTGAAAAAAAACAAAAGAAGATGAAATAAATAAAGAAACACGCTTAAAATGTAAACCAGGTACTTTATTTTAGTTTATCGACAATATATGTTCAACATCTTGCACAATACATTCGCTATTCTCCTCAAATTACATTATCTTCTCTTTCTCCGCAACATTTTCTTGTCCAGCGTACGTTATGACTCGCAATTTATAAGCGGTGTCAAGTTTTTCTCGACACTACACTTACAATTAGACAAACTAGACCAGCGCAGAGCTTTTTACAATGACAAGATATGCTTTTAAAAGCTAAAGCTATCTACAACAATATCCAACAATCATTCAAAATATATCCATCTACTACAATATCCACCCTCATAAAATCAAAAAATCTGCTACAACAGCCACAGAAATGCTCTTTATTTAACCATGAGCCATTATTTACAACGAAACGTCGGGTTGGGAGGACTGTCCGGAGGGTTTGGGATCGGTTGACGGCAGGTTTTGGGGCGGGGCGGCTAGTGTTTTCTTCGGGTCCTGAGGTGGTGTGGATTCCATGCCTGTGGAAAGGGTTGAGATAGTCGTGCATTGAGAGACGGCCGCTGAAAAATGAAAGTTTAGGTAATAAAACTCATATTTTGGTCCAAAAGTTTGTGGAAAGTCAAATTTTCTATAGTTAAGGTAACAAAACAACAAAATAGCACAAGTTCTTGGTCCAAAAGTTTATAGAAAACTCAAGAAAACCTACAAGAATCAGTTGAAGTGACTTTCGGAGACTGAGAGTAGGGATCCGGCTTTCCATCCATATTCATTGGCCATTTCGCTGAGACCGCTTCATACTTGCCAGTTGTGGGAATGTTGTGATCTGAAATGGCAAAATGGTAAACAAAAGCCAAAGCCCTCGAAAATGGTACTAAAAATTAAAAAATAGTACCAAAAATATCAAAATAGTAAAAATATCAAATAGTACAAAAAATGGCAAAAGAGTACTAAAAGTGCTAAAATAGTACCAAAAATATCAAACGGTACTAAAAATTCCGAAAGAGTACCAAAAATATCAAGATAGTAGTAAAAATGCCAAAAGAGTACCAAAAATATCAAAATAGTAGTAAAAATGCCAAAAGAGTACCAAAAATATCAAAATAGTGCTGAAAATTCCAAAAGAGTACCAAAAATATCAAATAGTACTAAAAATTCCAAAAGAGTACCAAAAATAAAAAAAATGGTACCAAAAACCATTAAAAGGCCTCAACTTTATAAAACACCCTCTATAACACCCAGAACCCAAAAAAAATTGTGTCCTACCCTGTGCCACAATCTTGACATGCTTGTTCTCCGTTCCCTTGTTATGGGCAAAGTGGTTCTGTGGAGTTGTAGTGGCCAAACTGTTCTTATCCACCGGCTTCTCTTGACTCGAGTCGTGACTCTTCTTCTCGGGTTTGTGGTTCTTGAGCATGAGACGACGCTCCCTCTCGCTCACATCCAGCATCTTCTTCTCCTCCCGTCTCGAGCTCTTACTCCGCTTGCCGGATCTGGACTTACTGCCTGAACTGCTGTACTTGACCGAGCTTGACTTAGACGAACTTTTGGACGAGGGCTTTCTGCTCTGAAATGTATTGTCAATATGAATAACGTGACAGGCAAGGCAAAGCAAGGCAAGGCAAAGCAAGGCAAAGGCAGGGCAAAGGCAGGGCAAAGGCAGGGCAAAGGCAGGGCAAAGGCAGGGCAAAGGCAGAGCAAGGCAAGGCAATTTAAGACACGTTAAGCCAAACCACGTTAAGCAAAGTCAAGACAAGTTAAGTCAAGTCAAGGAAAATAGAAAGACAAGCCAAGTCATGCCAAAGCAACCCAAGGGTAAACACGAGCAACAAGCCGAGCCAATTTTGAAGTCCAGCCCGATCAAAATTTTGAAAAAAAAATTACCCCGCTCGATACTAAATGGATTAGCCGCCCGTCCCTGTAAATTCAAAAAAACAAAAATTTTTTTTTCAAAATTTAAGCTTGGTCCCTCCTGTGATTTTAAATAAAAAAAATTAAAACTCAAAAATTTTTTTTTTCAAAAAATTGAAAATTAAAAATTTTTCAAGCCAAAAAACCCACCGATTTGCTAGATTTGGACTTGGACTTTCCTTTTCTGGCTTTTCCCTTTTTCTTCTTCTTCTTGGAGCGGCTCGCCTTGGAGTTTCGACTCTTGGACCGGCTCTTCTTCTTGCTCTTCGAACCGGATTTTTTCTTCTAAAACAAAAAAAAACTGTATCATTTACATGGTAGAGGGAGGGGGGTTAAAAATTCATTCGGATCGGCTTTATGGAGGTAGGTAGACATGAGGAACAAGCCGGGCCCAAATTTTTTAGTGCAAACGGCACGGGACTTGCTTTTCAGGCACGGCCTGTCCAAAATTGGGGTCATAACCGGCCCGTCCTCATTTCTAGAGGCAGAAGAGGTCCCAACCGGAACCAAAAACAAAAAGCACCCCTACCAGAATCAAAAAGCCCCTACCCCAGTCAAAACCACCCCTTAAAGAGTTAAAAACTAAAAAAAACCGCTGCCATAACCAAAAAACACCCCTACCAAAACCAAAAACAAAATACCCCTGCCGAACTCAAAAACACCCCCTACTAAAATTTTAAAGCAAAAAAAACATACCGTAAGCAAAAAGACCCCTATTAGAACCAAGAACCAAAAAAAAACACCCCCTACCAAAACAAAAAGTCAAAACCACCCCCTATGTCCCTCCTCACCCCAAATCACCAAGAAACAAACAACTCTCTATCCCCTCCCCAAATTCCAAAAAACCCCCCTCCATCCCCCTCCCAAATCACCAAAAAACCACCCTCCATCCCCCTCTCAAATCACAAAAAAACCCCCTACATCCCTCCTCCCCCAAATCACTAAAAAACATCCCCCTCCCCCAAAATTCCAAAAAACTAAAAACCCCGTACCGAAGTCAAGGCCCAAATGAAGATGCGAAAAATCTCCAATGCGATGAAGAAGACCAACAAGAAAGACATGGAAATGACCAAGAAGATCAAGATATTGATTTTGTAATCTTGAATATTGGCCATCTCATCCAGCGTCATTCTTTCCTTTTGCGTCGGCATCCTGACGACGACGACTGGCTCACAGCCACAGTTCTACGCACAAATGAACAAATTTTCGAGAATGACAACTTTTCGGGCCGGGCTTTGGAGATGGGAAATTTGCATAACACATCACTTGAGTTTTGGCATTTTTGGAAACTTTTGGGATTTTTATCAAATTTCGAAAAAAAATTTTCAATTTTTGAAAAATTTGCATAAAACGTGCGTTTTGATTTTAAAAAAAAATTTTTACATTTCTGAAAAATTTGCATAAAACGTGCTTTTAATTTATTTTCAAAAATTCACTCGTAGAGTCATAATATAACATAAATCAATATAATACAAAATATAAATTTTTAAAGATAAATGACAGTATAACATCATTTTTATTAATTTTTTAAAAGTCCGAGTTTGGTACTAAAAAGTGTACCAATAAGACCACTAATGACCTCAAATACGTCATTTTACATACCTGTTTTAAAGTTCAAATTTGGTACTACAAACAGTATCAATAAGACCAATAAGGTTCTCAAAAACGTGACTTTATATACCTCTTTTAAACTTCTAATTTGGTACTAAAAAGTGCACCAATAAAACCAATAATGACCGCAAAACCATCGCTTTATATAACTTTTTTAAAACTTTAAAAAATTTTGAAAAGTCCAAATTTAGTACTAAAAATAGTACCAATAAGCCCAAAAACGGCCTAAAAGTATTATTCCACCCCCATTTCAAAAATGTTTTCCTCAAACTGTAATATTTTTAAAATTTATTCAAATTATTAATGATGTGGTATATCTAGACCAGGTTAGAGCGGCGTTGGACGGCGGCGCACTTGGGCCGACGAGTAATGTTGGAGATCTTTTCGGCGAAATTCAGAGAACTCAGCGTTTCCTTGGCGCTGCTTTCGTCAGTCGTGACTTGCAGAATCAGAAGGGTTTTACTGTCACCGACTGAAAGTTTGTAGGTAAGATAATATTGGATTATAATCTGTGGGTTTTGAGTTATGATGGCTTTTAATCTTTTGATTTTTGGCTGGAGCAACACTAACTTTTGATACGTTTTAAGTTTTAGACAAAAAATCCATAAGATGCCTATCAAATATACTAAAAGCCGGGTGCAACTTTTGAGACATGGCAGAACTAGGGCAAAGTTAAGCCTTCGGCAGGGCTAAAGAAGAGTTAGAGCAGGGCTAGGGATAGGGCAGGACTAGGGCAGGCTATGGCAGGGCTAAGGCAAGGCTAATGCTAGGGCAGGGCTAGGGCAAGGCTGGGGCAAGGCTAGGGCAAGGCTAGGGCAGGGCTAAGGCAAAGCCAGAGCAAGACTGCGGCAGAGATAGGACAAGCGTGGTTTGAGTTATAATTCTTTCGGCAAGCCTGATCCTTTTCAAATTCCCAAGCCCTTAACTTACCCAAAGAATCGAAGTTAAGCAAGCTCAGGGTAGGGCTAAAGCTAGTGCCTAGGCTGGGCAGGGCTAAAGCAGGGCTAGGGCAAAGCTAGGGCAAGGCTAGTGCAGGGCTAGGGCAGGGCTAGGGCAGGGCTAGGGCAGGGCTAGGGCAGGGCTAGGGCAGGGCTAGGGCAGGGCTAGGGCAGGGCTAGGGCAGGGCTAGGGCAGGGCTAGGGCAGGGCTAGGGCAGGGCTAGGGCAGGGCTAGGGCAGGGCTAGGGCAGGGCTAAGGCAGGGCTAGGGCAGGGCTAGGGCAGGGCCAGGACAGGGCTAGGGCAGGGCTAGGGCAGGGCTAGGGCAGGTCTAAGGCAGGGCTAGTGCAGGGCTAGGGAAAGCCAAGAGCAAGACTAAAGCAGAGATAGGGCAGACATAGCTTGAGTTAAAATTCTTTCGGCAAGCCTGGCCCTTTTCAAATTCCCAAAACCTTAACTCACCCAAAGAATCCTCCAGAATCCTCGTCAATAAGCAATTTCTAAATGGAACATGCGGTAGATTCTTCCTTAACGCCAAAACAACATTGCCCAGTTCAGACAGAGACTTGTTGATGAACTTGGCCTCATTCAATTGAGCTCCAACCACTTGACTTCTAGCTACACGTTCACTGCCAGCCAAGTCAACCAAATTCAGCCTTCCAGTCCATTCATTGCCCGAGTCTTTATCAGTCATCTTCAATGTTAACATCACAAGAGCGTGGCTTCTACTCGAGGCTTCATTTAGGGCTGTTGTAGCCGTTGATCGATTTTTATGGCCGATTTTGATCAATTCATGTAGATCTTTAACCGAGCTGATCTCGACTCTTTGAACTCCACGAACTTCGGCTCGGCCTTCTGAATCCGTTCGGACTTGCACCTTCTGTGACGATGTGGAGTCGGATTCTAGGAGATCACGAATCTTTTCGTTGTAGATTTCAATGATCGATGCTGTCACATTACACTCAATGTATTCGGACTTTTCTTCCAAGAGGGCAAAGATTTCTTGACCGACTCGACGACTTATCCCTGGGTCGGATTCGGGGCCCTGTAAAGAAAGTTTTTGCAATGATTTTAAAATATTATTGGGTAGGGTAATAGGATAGATTTAGATCGCAGTAGAGCTGAATTAAAGCCAACAGTAAGGCATAAAAAGAACAAAAAAAGGGTTAGATTATAGATACAGTAGAGCATCCTACCTCCATAGTGAAAGTCTTGCCACTCCCAGTATGCCCATACGCAAATATCGACACATTTTTGCCATCCAAACAGCTCTGAACCAACGGACTGACTTCATCAAACACATCCGCTTGGCTAGCCTCTTGACCAAAAATTTTGTCAAACAAGAACCTCTTATTAGTATTGTCAATGTTAATCGTTATCACATCTACATCAAGCGGATCCAGAGTCACAACTCCGGATGGGCCGGGCTTTACTCGACAGAAAACTCGAATGTTACCTAAAATTTCAAAAATTACATTTTATAATCAATTTCAAATCAAATTTTGATACAAATTTTAAATTTTTTAAATTTGCACCGTGCAAAAACTCCAAACACCTTTGTACCTGAAAACATAACAACAAAGTGCATACCTCGTAGCTCAATTAAAGCATTATGTAGAGCCCTTCTCAACTCCACTTCTTCTTGAAAACGCTTCTGAATTTTGGAAAAATGTTTAGGTATCTCCATGGCTAATGAACATCGCAGATTCTCAAACGTATCATTCAATTCCCGTTTTAAATCCTTGGCAAACAATGTCAAGTTGCTGTTTTCTTCATTGATCAACTGAAAATGGAAGAATTACAAAAGAATTTTCAGTAAAAACATCAGATTATGTTCACCACAAGAGCTTTTAGATGTCTTGAACAACCTTGTTGTTTGTAAGTCAAAATCTATCTCAAACAACATCAAATACGTTTTTAAACTTTTATTATATACTAAGTAACTAAAAATAAACCAATTTCTTTAATTAAAATACAATATGTCGCCAAAACGTTAAAATATATTAACCATCCCTTCCGCAGATTTTTAAAAACCATGCCATTTTCAATAAGCAACCTTTTTTAAACGAAATAAAACGAACTTTACAACATCAATATATAACTTTACCAACTAAAGCAAGTCATATTTTTAAAATTTCAATACTAATTTTATGCAAAAACACCAAATTGTATTAACCATCCCACATCTTTCGCTATTTTTTAAAAACCATGCCATTTTCAATTCAACCTTTTTTCAAACTAACGAAAATCAACCTGAAAACCTAAACAAACCTGTAACTGTTGTCTCAATGCCAAAAGCTGTGTTTCATCACTGATAGGGTCAGCTGGGATCGATGGAGTTGTAGCACCACTCCAACTTTCCGTGTCCGTTTGAATCGCACTATCCACACTGATTGGTAACGTCGAATAATGCATTGTTTTCATGTTCTTTTCGCGTATCATACGTAGCTCGAGGTGTGCTTGACGTAGTTGAGATCTAAGTTCGAGGTTTTCGGCCGAAAGCCGGCCAAAATCCACTGATAGGTAAGAGATGCCTTTGAGAACGCGTTTGTTTCCATCTTCATCTAGCAGTTCTTCTGATTCTGTAAAAAGTAAAATTATGAATAGTAAAAAAAGAATTTTTACAATGTTTTATTAGCTGAGAAGTCGGTCAACAAGTTGTTTTACCAATAACAATATTTAGAGAAAGACTTGACGCAACATTTATTTTTGCGTCAACTCTTCTTCCAAACCACTAAACTTTGAAGAAATGTGAAATTTCGACAAAGCCTTTTTTACTATGGTAAGTCTACAACAAAAACAAGCTTACCGTTGTGTTTTTTCCTCAAAAACCCCAATTCTCCTTCGAGTTCATCGATAATCGTCTCCAAATTCCGGATGAGCGAATCCTTGTCTTCGGAATGACGTTGAAGCTGCTCTAATCGTATCCAATGGTCTTTACTGTTCAACTCTGTTGTTGGAGTGTTGTCGAACATGTTGGTCAACAACTCTGTCGCCATTCTGTGATGTTAATGGGCGTACCTCAACGGTACTGTTGGGGGTTTGGACCAGTTGATGAAGGCAGTTCTGAAATTTGATTATTTTACTTTGAGAAATCGTATCTTGGGCTCGGTAAATGAAAATGAGCGGTTTTGCACCATATTTAATGCTACGTTCAATGTAAATAATTTTTGAAAAGACTGTGATGTTACAATCAATGATTCGAAAGTTATGGCGTTTTTTCTACAGATTGATCCTTGTTATGTCTACTACAACATAGTTTTCTAATGATATCGCTAAATATTTTAGTTTCAAAGCTAAATGAGGTTAACGATTAATATTGGTAGAGTATTGGCTTCGATTTAAGCCTACCTTTATATCAATACAACAAACGGTTCAAAAGTTATGTCCATTTCCCCCAACCCGACCCCACTAAAATAAACATAATGTAATCAACTCGCTTCGAGAGAACCGGTGTTATAGCCGGAAGACTGATGGAATCGGAGGTGAAAGTGAGAGGAACGCCGGATTTGGTGAGGGTGAAAGCCCCTGCAACGCGACAGAATCAAGTCGGAACAACAAACGGCGCGTGTCACAATTAAAGCACGCAGCTAACATAGAAAACATGAACAACATTATGGAGTGTGAAAAGAAACGGCAAGATTAATAGTTATTGTTAGGTATAATGGCGCAAGTTTGGGATTTTAAATGTGATTTAGGCTACAATATTTGGGTTAATTAGGGTAATTTATAAAAAAATAGGGAGGGTCAAGAAAACCCTGTTTGAACCTATGTTAACATAGTTGTTTTGGCCGTTTACTGGCCGAAGACCTGGAGCTATGATCTCATATACTTCAAGAAGCCTAGTTAGGTATTATACGTAAGAGAAATATGAGAATGATGCTTTATTCAACGCTACAGATCAGTGTGAACAGTGCGATTCAAACGGACACGGAAAGTTGGAGTGGTGCTACTACTCCATCGATTCCGGCTTCACTTATCACTAATAAAACACAACTTTTGGACTTTAGACAACAGTTATAGGCTTGTTCAAATTTTAAGATTGATTTTGGTTAGTTTGAAAAAAGGTTGAATTGAAAATGGCATGGTTTTTAAAAAATAGCGAAAGATGTGGGATGGTTAATACAATTTGATGTTTTTGGGTAAAATCAGTATTGAAAACTGAAAAATATAGATTGTTTTAGTTGACAAAGATATATATTGATGTTTTAAAACTAATTTTATTGAATTTTAAAAGGACTGACTATTAAAAATGGCATGATTTTTGAAAAATATCAAACGATATGGGGTGGTTAACATAATTTGGTGTTTCTGAGTAAAACTAGTATGAAATGTTGAAAATACAAATTGTTCTACTTGAAGAAGTCTATACTGATTCTGTTTTTATGATTTTATACTATAGTAATATCCAAATGAATACATTACCATTGATTTTTTGGCCGAATAACTACCCCTACCTTTATTACTTTAACGTCTGTCTTAACCTCTAACCATTCAAATCTGCAAAGGTTATACGTCTAACAAGCATAGTAACCTTGTACCTAATAAATTCTTCTCTCTTTCCTTCAAATCTCATTATATTACCTCACCCCCCCCTTGTACTACTAAAAATCACCTAAAATTCCCAAGTCGTTTTATTGAAATTTAATCGGACAAAAAACCGATGGCCATTTGCAAAATGGCATTGAAAAAAACGCGAGTTTAAAGCGGAAAGGTTTTGGAACCGGTGCCGCGGATATTCGCCTCGATATTACACTGAATGATCAATCTGTTTTTGCTCTTGATAAGGGTCAACATGCCGGACATTCCCAGGAGGTCTTATTAATTAATGTTGTTGGGCCGTTTCCGGTCACTATACGATGTTTGAGCTGTGTAATGGGCATATGTTAACATTGGTTTTTCAAATTTTAAAAAATTTCAAATTTTAAAAAAAATTTCAAAAAATTTTAAAAAAATCAAATTAAAAAAAAATCAAATTTTGAAAAAAAAATTGAATTTCAAAAAAAAATTTCAAACTTAAAAAAATTTTAAATGAAAAAAATTTCGAAACTCCACCCAAACTACAATAAAAAATTCAAAATTAACCTTTTCAACCCCCTCGCAGACCCTAAATACCCAACCTTTACCGCGCCCCGCAAAACATTCCATTAATAAGCCGGAGGCGATCGCGCAAGCCCCGTTACGTTATATTACCGCCGGAATAATAAACACTGCTATAATTGCAGCGGACGGACGCTTCACTGACCTCGTAGCTGACAATTTGGTGGGTTAGAATCTGGCGATCAAGAAGTGGTCAGGGAATGAAACTTCAGACTTAGCCCTAGCCCAGAGCCCAAACGCTATCACTAACCCAAAGCCCTACCCAGTGCTCCTGCCCAAAGCCCTAGCCCAGAGCGCTAGCCCAGAGCCCTAGCCCAGAGCTCCAGCCCTAGTATAAGCTCTAGCTTAAGATCTAGTTCTAACTCTAGTCAAAAGATTTAGCCTAAGCCCTAGCCTAAGGCGTAACCTAAGCTCTGGTCTAAACTATAGGCCAAGCCCAAGCATCATCCCTAGCCTTAGCCCTATCCTAGCTTTATCATTCTCATGCTCAGGCTATATCTTTGCTCTACCTACCATAGTCTACGGTTGTAAACCTAGCCAAGCCTAACCCAAAAACCAAAAAAAACTAAAAAATTTTTTTTTCGATAAACCTTACTACAGTAAAATCAACCACAAGTTGACCTCAATGTGACAATAAGTTTCGCACATTCGAAATAAGTGACAAAAACTAATGGCGCATTCAAATTTAGTCATCCTGAAAAATGCGCAATTGAGCGATTACTCCATTTCAAAAGGAAATTCAGAGATTTAAATGCGCTAATTTCGAGGTTGGAAATGAGAGAAACAATAAGGGAATTATGGTAAAAGAAAGTTGAAAGTTGGGAAAACAAAGTTGAAAAAAATTTTTGACATTTTGAGCTTTGTTACTGTAAGAAAAATTAAAATTGTTAAAAATTTTGGAAAAAACCAACAGGGTGGATCAAGCTCAACTTTTTTCAAAAAATAAACTTTTTTTTTATTTTTAAATTTTTCCACAAGCCCTAGCTCAAGCACTAGATCAAGCCCGGCTCAAGACCCAACTTAAGCCCTGTTCAAGCTAAAGCCCTAGCTCAAGTCTTACCGCAAGCCCTAGCTCAAGCCCTAGCTCAACTCCTAGCTCAAGCCCTAGCCAAAACCATAGCTCAAGCCCTAGCTCAAGCCCTAGCCAAAACCCTAGCTCAAGCCCTAACTCAATCCCTAGCTCAAGTACTAGCTCAAACTCTAGCTCTAACTCTAGCTCAAGCCCTAGCTTAAAGGACCAGTCCGGATAACTTCTTTTGTCGCAAAGATTTTTTCGTTTTGGCTGTTGAACTTTTTTCGCGCCAAACGTGAGCGGGTACACTGGATAAATGATTTCCTTTATTCCAAATCGACTCGCTCACGTTTTGCGCCAAAAAAGTTCGCGCTTCCCTGATTGCCTGATCTGTTGCAGAAAAGCCTGACAAAAGACTTATCCAAACTGGTCCTTTAAGATGTAGCTCATGTCCTAGCTAAGCCCTAGCTCAAGCCCTAGCTCAAGTACTTGCTCAAACTCTAGCTCTAGCTCTAACTCTAGCTCAAGTCCTACCGCAAGCTCTAGCTCAAGCCCTAGCTCAAATCCTGCCTGAAACCCTAGAGCTCAAGACCTAACTCCAGCTCTATTTCAAGCCCTAGTACAAGTTCTAGCTCAAACCCTAGCGCAAGCCCTAACCCTTTGATTCCTTTATTCTACCCTAGCCCTTACCAAGTTTAGATTTTAACAAAAAAATATTTCTTTAGTCTTTGAGCTCCTAAAATTACACATTACCCATCCAAAAAAAATTCCTTTCGAGCTTCCGAAAAATCGTTTTTTCAAAAAAATTTGCGGTTTATAATAAGCGGCTTTGGGCCTGCGGTTTGGGTTAATAAGTCGAAAAAAAGTAAGTTCAAACATTCCACGCAAGATTAAAATTTGTTTACAGACTGTAGTTTAGCCTTATAGCCTTATCTTCATAGTATTGAGCACCAACACTATTAATAACAGTGTATTAGTACTACTACTATAGCAAACTATTAGGTTGTTCAAATAATTCTGCGCACCTTTTCGAACCAAGTTTTTGCAGTTAGGGGCACAGGATTATTTGAACAGCTTAAAGTGAAACATTTGAACAAAGTTGGATTTGAAAAAAGTCATCTCGTCATTTCTTTATAAAAAATTTTTACCCCCCCTCTTTCTAAAAAAATTTTTACCCCGCCCTTAAAAATTTTTTTTGAGCATGTTATACTAAACCCTCTAATAACATAAAACATAAACCTATTTTTTTTTCCTCCCCCCCCCAGTAAAAAAAAATTTCACCCCGCCCTCAAAAAAATTTTTTCAACAACTTATGCCCCACCCCTCTGTAAGACTATAAAACTATTTTTTACCTTCCTCTCTTCCTCTCCCGTTTTTTAGTGCAAACTACCCGCCCAACTCTGTTACCCCTACCACTAACTACTATCAAACCCGCTGAACGCTATAAAAACTGTTTGTTTGGATTGGTGAAACCATTAAAACATTGTATCGAAAAAAACATTCAAATAAATATAATAGCAACCCCGTTACGAATCCTCACTTATAACTGTTTGAAAACAACAAATTATGAAAAAATCGCTGAAAAAATAAACAAAACAACTCGGAATACTCGAGTTTTGATCGGGTAAATCCAAGATTAACCTAGCTGCTTGTAAAGGTTTTTTTGGAAAAAGGAAGGTTTTTTTAAATTTAAAACACAATGTTTCAAAATTTTTAGTTGAGAATAGAAAAGGCACTACATTGGTTAGTGTGATGCTAATACGGCTACAGTAAAGCTTGAGTTAGGCTACGGATAGGAAATAAGTAGAGTTACAGGTAGAACTTACAAGGAAATTACCTACCTGCCCCGCTCAGAATCAGCTCAAAATTTTCATATGAATTCTTTGTACCACCAATAGTACCCATAAAAAATTTTAACTCGCGCTCTTGAGTTTTAAATTTAAATTATTTGGGTTTTCCGCCATTTTGGCAAATTTGGCATTATGTTTCAAGCGCTTTTTTCGGCTTTCCAGGCAAGATACGCTTACAAATTTAAAAATGTAGGTTTATTTAAAGTTTTTCTACTAGTATATTATGGAAAAATGATTAAAAGTCAAACAATGACAAAGTTACAAGCTTGAAACACAATGCCAAATTGGCGGGAAATTCAAAATGTCATTTTTTAATCTCGGTTTTCTCGAGATTTCCTGGAAAGCGCAATTTAGTACTTTGCTGAAGATCTTATATTTACATGATCTTTCTATATAAGAAGTTTGAAGTCAATCAGAGTGAGGCAGGTCGGGCACTTTACTTGTTAGTCAGGGCGAAAGATAGGGCTAGGTTAAGACTTAAGCAGGGCTTGGATAAGACTATCATTGGACCAAGGTAAAAGCTAAGGCAGAATCATAACCGCGCTAAATTGGGGCGGAGATTGAGGCGCTATAAAAAGGCTTAAGTAAAGAAAAAAGACTTAAGTAAAGAGGCAGTGTTATAATAGAGCTAACGTTGGGCTTAGAGAGAGCTACGGTTGGGCAACAATGGGGCTGAGATAGGGCTATAGTAAACTCAGAAGCTGGCTAAAACTAGGGCCCAAGCAGAGTAATGTAGAGCTAGCATGGGGATACGGTAGAGCTCGGGTAAGGCTATAAGTAGGGATAAGGGTAGGGCTTGAAAAAAAGCTAAAAGCTATCGTTGGGCCAAGGCCGAAGCTAAAGCAGAATTACATATACTAGAGTTATCGTGAAGTGAAGATACGGCTACATTAAAGCCTACGTAAAGCTATCACTAAGCCATAGTAAAGACGCCAAGACTAAGAAACACAGATTTTATATACTTGATTGCAATAGTAAAACAAATTCATTTTACGAAAAACGAAACGAAATACATTCATAAAAGAGCATCTGCTGATCGTAAATAACGTAAAGTACGTAGTATATTCATAATACTTTTTATAACGGTAACAAACTTATAACTAGGACTAGGGCTCTGGGCTCTGGGCTAAGGCTCTGAGCTAGGGATCTGGGCTAGAACTCTGGACTAAAGCTCTGGGCTCGGGCTCTGGACTAGAGCTCTGGGCTAGGGCTCTGGACTAGGCTCTGGGCTGGGGCTCTGAGCTTTCCCTAGCATAATTGCCAGCCGGCTGACTAGCCAGCCCTCTATAGACTGAGACTAGGCCTAGAAAAAGCTAAGAGCATAAGTAAAGTTAGGGCTAAGGCCCTGGGCTAAGGCTCTGGGCTGGGGCTAGGGCTCTAGGCTAGGGCTTTGGGCTAGGGCTCTGAACTAGAGCTCTGCGCTAGGGCTCTGAGCTAAAGCTTAAATACGCCCCACAGTCAAAAGTTTCTACCTACTAATTGCCAGCCGGCTGACTTTGCGTGAACTTTTGAGGTCTCCTACTAAAAGCCTTGTCACACTTTGTACCCTCAAAGCGAAATTCAATCTGAACGGTTAAAAATACTCGAAACTTTTGTCGCGTTCCTTATCATACTCCTTTGCACTCTTTATCACAATGTTTTTTAAGTCGAAATTTTGAAACTTTGAAATTTTAAAATGACGTTTTAAAATTTAAAATTAGTCCTTAAATCCTGCCTGGACCTGTCGTAACTTATCAGACATTACAAATAGACCTGTTTTACCTAGACCTGCTTTTTCTATACCTGCCTTGCCTAGACCTGTTATGCCTTAAATGCCATTACAAACAGATCTGCCTTACCTAAACCTACCATACCTTAACTTAAAAATTATATAAATCGCGTACAACATAAAGAATTCGACCGGTAAAGTTAGTCCGGGGACTTTTTACGCACCCTGTATAAGATGGCACTCCAATAATATTAGTCTAGACTTAAAATAAACCGCCAAAAAATAGTATAGTGTTCACGGAATTACGAAGGTATTAAAGTGAGGATTAGAGTTCAGTAAATACACCAAAACTCAGTAGACTTACAGTAAACGTTCGGTAAACAAAAAGCGAACGTTTAGACGGGCTGGAGGAACGCCAACGAACGATAAGTGGTTTTTAATTGCCATAACAGTTGAAAAAACTTTTAACATGAAGAGAAAAGGTTACATCCTACCCTACCCTACCCTACCCTACAATGCCTTGTCTTAGTATGCTCTATAAAATTTTTTTCCAAAAATCCACAGGGGGGACCACGTTCAACTTTTTTCGAAAATTTTGTTCTATGGTGAACCCCCCCCTCGCGCCCGGCGCTGCCTATTCTACAATATTTTGATCTACCCTGCCATAACTTATCCAAATTTTTGAATTTTTTCAAATTTCAAAAAAAAAATAAAAAAATTTACCCCCCCCTCCCTCGCCTTCCAGAAATTTCTTTTTGAACCGCTTTGACCATCTTGACGCAAAACAACTTTTAAAAAATTTTCAAATTAAAAAAAAATTGAAACTGAACGTCACTCAAAAAACGGATTACTCATCTTGAAGCTTCGAAAAAGAACTTTATAGACTGATCAAACTGATGAGCCCGTTACTCGAACCCTGCGTGTTCGCTTTCGTCTTTCCTCGTACAAAAATTGGGTGGGGGAGAACAAACAAAAACGGCTTAAATCTCTTCAAATCTCTGTTTATTATTACTTATATAAGCCGAGGGGATGACTCAAAACTATACGTTTATATAGGTATAAGACAGTATGTATAGGTATAGCCGCGCACAGACTTAACCTTAACCTTGGCCTTAGCCGTAGCCTTAGCTTTAGTTTTAGCCCTAGCCTTAACCTTACCCCTAACCCAACTCTTTCCTACCCACTATTAAATACTGGCCTTTGAAGCCGGAATCATTACAGTTTCCTAACTTATAAGCTTGTAAAACGATCGTTTTCAATGAGTAATCAATCTGAAATGTAAGTTTTAACTAGTTCTTAAGATAACAAAGGTATTATTAGCAATTTTCTGACGTAAATTGAAATTGCTAAACAGAAGTAGAGACCGTATTTTACAAAACATATGAAAATTTTTTATATTTTAATATTTTTTTACCTAGAATATCACCAAAAATTAGAGATTAACCCAAAGTTTTGTCAAAGAAAAAGAAAAAAAAATACCTCAAAAATCAACTTATTGTACTTTTCAAACTAATAAAATTACCGAACACATAAACTACGTATTTTACAAATATTTCAAATAACATTTCAAATCTTTTTTCATCGAATTTTTATCAAAAAAGAGCAAAAAACTTTACTTCCCATGCCGGGAATCGAACCCGGGCCGCGTGGGTGAAAGCCACGAATCCTAACCACTAGACCACATGGGAGACACGCTTCCCTTCGTTATTTTTTACCTTGCTTCTCTTTCAACGGGGTTTTTGATATAAATGAAAGTCAAATAAAAGTTTAGCGATCAAAATAAAGGGTAATATACTAAAATAAAATAGTTTTAGAACGTATATAAGCAAAATATAATATTTTAGACACCTGATCATAATTTTTCTTTCCAAAATCCATAATTTTCTAAAAATTTCGTAAAAAATGAAGGATAATATAACTTATGGGTTTATCGTTTAGTTTTCAGTAAATAAATACAAAGGACAGCTTTTAAAATTATAAAATAATCTTTTTTAGATAGAAAAGACATTGTTATTTCATAAAGTCCCAACTTTTTCAAGTTCCATTAGCAAAAATAGTAGATATTGCCATCTAAAACAATATATTTTCTTGCGTTTTCAACTCACTTTCGTCTTGATGTTGCTTATAAAGAGAGGAAGTAAAAAACCAAACTTAAAAAACATAGAGGCAATAAAAATTAAAATTTTGGATAAATTTCAAGCTTTGATACCCAAAATAGCTGAAACAACAGCCATTCGTGGCTCAAATATCTCTTTCTTTCAGTGTTTCTTATAACGGGAGACAATAAAAATAAAATTGTAAGAAAGAGAAATGTAAGAAAAACATTATTAGTTCATAAAAAATATAAAAATCACATTTTCCTTCAAGCTCTGGTAGCAAAAACGACTGCTCACGCCTTCTGAAGTTAAATTTTTCCCTATTTACCCAGACGCTTTGGCATTTTATTGCTGTTTCTTATAACGAGAGTTTATAAAACTTTATTTTTAACTAAAGAAAAATTACAATTTTAGATATTAAAAACGTTATTAGCTTTAAAAATCCCATATTCATCAAGCTCTGATAGCAAAAGCGGCCGCTAGCGCTCTTTGTAAGGCGATTCGCCGGTCCAAGTTGGACCTCAACGATGGTTGAACTTCAACCTGATCTTCAGTATAATCGACCGGTAGCTGTAACTGATTAGGGAAGTTGTTTAGCTGACTCTGGAAGTTGTTGACATCAGCATTGACTGGCTCGCCTTCAGCTGGGAATGGGTCCGGCGTAGCGTCTAGGATCTTGGCTGGTAATGGCCCTGACGTAGCGTCTAGGATCTTGGCTGGACTGGGAAATTCACTAGAGTTTTCGCCTTCGCCTAGGGAGTTTTGGCTAGTCTTTAGACTGCCGTTGATCTGGTCGATACTGCTGGCTGAGGATTCGATGGCATCTGATGAATCTGATGTTGAGGATGGACCTAATGACAAGGCGGTTGGACTGGCACTTGGTCTAGAAGGTTTAGGACCTAGTCTAGCGCTGTTCACTCCTAATTTAGAAGGTTTAACTCCCAGTCTAGCGGCATGTGTACCTCCCGGTCCTGCCTTAGCTGGCTCACTGATCCCAGCCCTCAGATTTTGCTGAATCAGCAGATGAGACCTGGGCGGGCATGGACAATACGCACCATCAATACCTGGCTCACCACCCGGTCCCGGCTGTCCGGGTGAACCATCCGCTCCATTAGCACCGTTAGATCCGGGTGGACCTCGTGGACCCATCGAACCAGGTGGCCCAGGTTGAGCGACCGTACCAGACGGTCCAGGATCACCAGCAGGTCCTACTGGACCACGTGGACCGGGCATTCCGGGCAGTGGATGATAATGTGTACCAGGCTGACCGGGTGCTCCGGGTGAGCCAGGTTCTCCGGCTATTCCTGGATAGCCTGGGAAGCCGGGTTCACCTGGCGGACCGGGTGTTCCGGGGTTGCCGGCTGGGCCAAGTGGTCCTGGAATGCCATCAGGACCGGGGACTCCAGGTTGGCCTGGGAAGCCAGGTGGGCCTGGTGGTCCGGCTGGGCATTGTATACAGCCTTGGGCTTTTTGAGCTTCTGAAATTTAGGCTTTTAGGTAATACTAGGACAATTCTTGGCTATTTTTTGGCTAGAAAAGAAGATTTTATCTAGTTTTTAGACTAAAAACATCATTTTTAAAGATTTTTTTTGGCTAGCCAAATATTGTTTATATATTCACACAACGCCTAAAATACATTTTTACAAAAAGTATATACAAAAAACGTATTTTACCTTGATAAACGTAGTTAGCATCAATTCCAGGCATTCCATCCAGTCCAGGCAATCCATCGTCTCCAGGTAGTCCAGCCTCTCCAGGTGGTCCAGATGGACCAGCTGGGCAATTACTAGGTTGCTTGAGGCAATTGCATTGCGTTTGACGTTTGTTTCGGATGTCATGAACATAGCCGAACAAGGAGTCTTCTCTGATCTTATCCATGTGCATCATCTCGGACCAGGCCTGATTGGCCAGCGACTTGAACTCACTCATCTCGCCCATGATCTCGTTGTACATACTGTTTATGTCCTGGGGGTAAAATACGAATTGTGATGGCTTTCTTTGTTAAAAAAAATTTAATTTTTTAAAGTTTTTGAAATTAAAAAAAAATTTTTTTTAATTTTTTTTTCGATTTTAACTCGACAACATAATTTTTTAGCCTTTAACCTACTACAATATCCAAAAATTTCAAAAAAAATTTTGTTACCTAAAATGCTCCATAATGGCCTAAAAACTTACTTTAACCACAAAAAAAGCTACAAAAAGTGCCCCAGTAATGAAAATGGCACTACCAGTAGTAATGAGCTTTACCGCTGAGTCTTTAGTCATCGTATCTTCTATAGATTACTATAGTAAGGCTTAAAATTATAGTAAATAGATCTGTAAAAACACTTCAGAAGCTTCTACATACGACTTCTTTTTGATATACGGTCAAAAATATGGATGATATTGTGAATATATTACTATAGCAAACCTTCAAATATTTTACTATAGTAAGCCTTCAAATATACCAGTGTAAGAAGCCCCCATTCACCTCTTCAAGAGAAGATATCCTTACTTATATACGAAGACTTCAAGTTCGTAAAAACCCCTTAACGCACATTAATGCCGAAGGTGCGTCGACCGGAACATTAACATCCCCAACTTCCGCTACCTCCAAAAAAGTAGCGAAGTAAGGGATTTCTGATGAGTAATATACGTCGTAAATTAACATAAAGAGCATTGACTAGAGTATAATAACGATAAGGCAAGTCTATGATTTATATATTACGTCAAGACAAGTTTATGGTCGATTTAAGACTAGGTTACGGCCGGTCTAGAGGTTAGCCTGGAATCTAAGGCTCAAACTTTGATAAGACTAGAGCAGGGTTCGTAGCATGATATCAAAGAAAGTGTAAATGGTCATATCTTTTGAATAAAATTATGAAAACAGATGAAAATTTGCAGAATTATGTGCTATAGTATGCTCTTATCTGATTTTTAAAGCTGGTTTTAAAATTTTTTGAAATGGCATGTTATATTGCCTACTTCGATCAAATAAGGTTAAACTTGAGATACTTTATCTTTCTTTCTGAAAAATGCTGTTCATATTACTGCAGTAAGCTTATTAGTAGTAAAATTATGCTTTTATGCTAATTTCAAGAATAATTTTCTAAACTTTTTTATAACACTGCCTCAGGCATGTTTAATGTTGACTATAGCGAGAGGCTCTTTTATAAGTAACTTTGAGCTACAACCAAACTTTTTCAAGCTATAATAGAGTGGATTGTCATTAGAATCAACTTTAACAGCAGTTGTAACTTGCTTGAAGCTTATTTTTTGTTTTTAAAAAAATTTCAAAATTTTGAAAATTTTGAAATTTTCGAAAAATTTTAATCTTTTCGATATTTCCAAGATGAATATGCATGTCTTATGTCCTAAAAATGAATTTCCCCATCTGACTTATTTACATTGTTACTTTTTTCCTCTCGTGTTTCCCCTCGAAAAGCGAGAGAGCACGCGCAACGGAGAGAGCACTCTCTGACGAAAACAAAATAACAAGTTTGTTTACCAGCTTTCGAAACGTTCCGAATTCACGTTGGGAACGGAAAATAACGGATTTTGGGCCTGTTTCTCGAATGTCCATCTGTTTTTACTGATTTTTGGTCGATTTTATGGATTTGAAACCTTGTTTGCTACTTTTCCTGGCTTGTGATCTACTATAATATCGAAAAATCCGGCTTTAAATCGTGTTTTTAGTTGAAAAATAGGGTAAAACAAGGTTTTTGAACTCTGAAAAATGAAGACACAAGCTTTGGAAAGTTAGAAAATTAATTTTGTGTGTAGAAAGGGGTATTTCAATATTTTTTTTTGGTTTATATTGTTTTAGGTAGATTTTTGGGCGATTTGACATGGGTAACTTCAAATTGATGCCACTTTTTTTCTAGATGTTGGATTTTTATAAAACTTGGTAAATAGGTTAAACATACCAGTGGTATCTTAGTCTAAAAATTTTAGTTTTATACCCTTTGGCATTTTTGAGAAATAGAGTTTTAAAATGACAGATTTTTGAAGTTCGCGCGCTTTTTAGTTGCTTATAGTCTTGCTCAAAGTTTTTTATTCAAATAGGCTTATTTTGATGTTTTATACTTTTTTTAATGTTTTAAGTACATACTTTTACAATTTTAGATCTATTTTTATAGTTAGGAACTTATTCTTCATGGTTTTCTATATTGTTATAGGTATACCTCCGTTCAACTTGATGGTTTGAGCCTTTAGTTATAACGTTCGAAAAGAACACTGTTTTTTGATGTTGTGATTGTTTTTCAATAGTCTTTCACGTTTTGTTTGCTCTGAAGAAAGTATTTTCAGTTCTGAAGTATGAAGAAAGGATAGAAATGGCAGGCATTTCAAGTTTTTCAGATTTTTAGGTAACATCTTTGAAGTTTTTGTATGTTTTTGTTAATATTAATGTATATTTAGGTATATATGAGCTTTTACATTACTGTCTGGTTTTAAATTGTTGTTTTTCATTGATAAAAACGGCATTTTTTGATTGTTTTACCTAATTTTAACCGTTTTTTCGCCATTTTTTAATATTTTTAAAAGTTTTATGCCATTTTACCGCGACCTAACTATATATTTTTTGGATAAAATTGTAAAATACGTGATATAAATGGTGTGCTTTCAGAAAATGTACGTTCGAAAAATTCTCACCAGCTCACCAATGGTCCTCGTAAGGAATGGAGGTAAGTCTTCAGCTTTATGGGTTTGGTCTTGAATTATTAACTGATGCGTAAATAATGGCGTGTTTTGAAGTTGGTGATTGTATTGTGTGGAAAGTAGAGAGAATTCTGGTCAAAATGATGATAAAATTTTTGGTCTAAAAGTTTGTAGAAATATTGAAAAATGGCTTGGAAAGGGAGTGATCTATGAAAATTTTGAAAGATTTTGGAAAATGGACTGATATTATTGACTTGCGTCATTCTTTTTGCATCAGTGGTAAAAGTGTTTTTGCGATTTGATTTTCTGGACATTTCGAGTCATATTTTGACAATTTTTTGATTCTTTACTAAAATTAACCTTTAAAAAATTTAAAAATTGATTTTTTTTTTAATTTTCGAATTTAAAACAATTTTGAGATAATTTAAAAGCTGATTCAAAATTTACCATTTTCAGCCCCTTCCCGAGCCCTCCAAACCACCTCAGCGATGGCGACCGACGATTACCGTCACACGCTTCAGGCCGAAAAAACCGATGACGATAAGCCACAAACCAAAACCCATGAACCAAAGAATCAAACCGAAAAAGACGTCCAAAAGAAGCCTGACGTGCATCAGAAGAAGGGAATGAGTGAGGAAATCAAGAAAAAGTCGAATTCAAAGTAAAATACGAGAGTTTTGATGGGTACTGTATTTTGGCGGGGGAGGATACAGTATTCTTGTGTAGAGATAATGTATTTACTCTTATCGAGATTATATTGTAATTGTATCAAAGTGTGTATAAAGGAAAACGTTTTTTAATAAATTTAGTTAATGAAAATTGTAGTTTTTCGAAATTTTGAAATTTTTGAAAATTTTTTTTTGAAATTTTGAAAAATCTGAAAAAAATGGTTAACTTAAGTCTTAGGGGCTATTAGGTTGTTATTGGGGTACAATACTCAAATGTTGTTGCTACAATTAGATGAGCTTTCGCAAGTTTCCGGGTAAGAGTGGTTTACGACAATAGAGGTATATTCTTTATTAAGGTAGTCTATGTATCATATATAAAGAGTATAATATAAAATACAAATTTTTAATGAATTTTTCGAAACGAAAGTCTAAAAGTATAGTTATAGGTATAAGATAGTGTAAGTTATACCGTACGGTACAGTAGCACGGGGTGGTAGGAGGTAATGAAAGTAGAAGAATATAAAGTAAGGTAAGTTAGGGTAGGGCACAGTAGGGTAAGGTAGAGTAAAGTAGATTAAGTTATCCTACGTTATGGTAGGACACGGTTAGGTAGAACTGGGTAGATGACATTGTAGTGTAGGGTAGGGTTGTGTAAGGCATGGTAGGGTAGGGCTGTGTAGGGCATGATAAGGTGGAGTAGGGTAGACAAAGGTAGTTTAGGCAAGGATAGAAAAATGCTAAGGTAGTGTAAAGTAGGGTAGGGTAGGGATGGGTAGGGTAGGGTAGGGTAGAATATGGTAGGGTAGGGTAAGGCAAAGTAAGTTATTAATTACTGCTGGCCATAGTACAAAATTACTGTACGTACGTAAAACTAATTGCTTAGCACTTATAAAACAATTTTTTCAAAAGAATCTTTAGAGAACGGTGCCACAAGGTACAGTCACATAGCTTACTATTTATAAGATTATGTGTTGCACTTGCGTTAACGTAAGACCATTATCTTGCTAAAGATATACTATGTACTGCAAGGTAAAGATATTTTTTACTATTATATAACGACACTTTACTTTATTGGAGATATCATCAGTACTGAGAGTTTAGTTTTCTTAAAATATAAACAGGAACGACTAGATAAAACGGTAATAACAAAGTCATTACTTTGTTTTAACGTAGTACATGTTTGTTTGTACTCAACCTGTTCACGGCATTTCAAATACCATCATTTATGAGTAGGAACAACACGTAGCCATTTAAAGTTATGTACATTTACATTTGTTTATGACTAATGTTGTTTTTGTTGTTTTAATTTGAATTTTTTAAAACTTTGGCTTTTGAGGTTTCGACAACATTGCTTTTTAGCTTTCATTTACCATAGTCAGGGCAGGCAAGTGTGTTTTGCCGGACTGGTTTGGAAACAAATTTTTAAGTTTGACCGGTCCAAAACAAATTTTTTTAGATTGCACTGGATCAAAACAAATTTTTAAATTGACTCGAGTCAAAAAATTTTTTTTACGATGGACCGGACCAAAAAAAAATTCAAACCAGTTAGACAAAACACGGCGGGTGGGTTTGTGTAGGTTTTAGAGGGTGTAGTCAAAAAAAAATTTTTTTTCTACGGATATGGCTTGTAAATTTGAGTTTGGTAAGGGGAGGCAGGGGGATTGAGGGGAGAAGGAAGGGTGAGGTTTAATATAGTAATGAAACTTAATATAGTAATGACACTGGCACTTTTTTCATTTTTTTGCTTATTATTTGTATTAGTCATACATGTGCGTTTCTACACCTACATGTATACATTTACAAGCAGAAATAGAAATACTACAAACATGCGTATATATCGTTATATATTGTTACCGAGACTGGAAGTAATATTGTATTTGTACGCGAAATATATACACATACTATTGTAGTGTTTTTTAAGTTTCATTTTAACTCTACTTTAACTTCTTTCTTTAGAATAAGCGCTACTTTAGTCCTATTCTAGCCGTATTCTAGCCTACTTCTACATATTGTAGTTCTTAGTTTTACAATACTCCTACCCTACCTATAATTGGCCATAACCTAGCTCTACTCTACTCTAGTCTTCCTTCTTTTCTCTTTATACTGTATCGTTTCACGTATATGTACATACTGTATCTCACACGTATATGTACATACTGTAGCCTACATGTATATGTGTATCATACGCCCCACAGTATAAGCTATGGTTAAACACGCCACATCCGCAATTATATTTTTGTACCACTTCGTATACGGGAAAACATGTTCGTGTATGAGATATGTATTTATATCGTACATGTATGTGTGTTATACACGATGAAATATTATACTTGGTTTGTAGACGGTTGTTATTGGAATTATTTCAAGTTTATACAATTTAAAATTCGAGTTTTGTAGCGAATAATACGATAATATTATGTTACATGATACGAATAGTAACTGCTGGTTGTAAATAACATATGGTTACATATACTGCCAGTTATTGTTGTAGGTAGGACTAGGGCTCTGGGCTAGGGATCTGGGCTCTGTGCTAGGGCTAGGGCTAGGGCCAGAGCCAGAGCCAGAGCTAGAGCTAGAGCTAGAGCTAGAGCGAGAGCTAGAGTGAGAGCTAGAGTGAGAGCTAGAGTGAGAGCTAGAGATAGAGCTAGGACTAGGATTTTTTAAAAATTATGTTTGATAAAGTATGAGCATGCTTACTGTAGTTTACCATCTTAATTTGCTAAGATTAGCCATCTTGCTGTCTAAGTATTTTTATGCATAATACATCTTTAATACCACAAACGACGTCTCTAAACCCTTCCGCATTCGAAATGTCATCAATGGAATAACAAGCAATTAGAGACATTTACTACACATTATTCCGTGTTTCATATATATATATATATATAATATAGGTAACATAATATGCGCATAAAAATGGCCGATACATTACTTTTGGAAGTGCATTGCTATTTTAATATGCACATAACAAAAGTTAATTTCTCAACGACAAATTAAGTATTAAATGTTATTTGTACGTGGTTTAGAGTTTGTAGAATTGGGTACTTTTAAAAATTAGGACAAGAGTGGGGGCAAGAGTACGGGTATAGTAGGAGGTTAGGGTAAAGGCAAAAATATAAGATAGGGCTTGGTAGAAATTATGGTGGGCTTGTTTATAACTAGGTTAGAGTTAAGAATAGTAAGGCAAGAATAGAATAAGGCATATCTGTGTTAAATTAAGGTAAAAGCTTTGTTTGTTCTAGGATTACATTATGTGTTACAGAGACTTTTATGAGGCTTGTGGCATTTGTTGTAGAGAGTCTTTTAGAGGATTATGACTTTTGCTGTAGCGAATACTTTTTCAGGGTTGTGGTATTCGGTATAGAGAGTTTTTTAGAAGGTTATGACAGTCGTTAAAGAGAGGTTATTTAAGTGTTGTAACTTTTGTCATAGGAAGATTTCGGAAAGACTATCATTTGATATAGGCAAGGTTTTAAGGGTTTATCACAACCGTTATACAGAGGTTTTTAGAGGGTCATGACGTTTGTTATATTTAGTTTTGTAGTGTTATGGTAATAGTTATAAAAACGTTTTTTAGTGTCATTTTGTTCGTTATATTGAGTTTTTTGTAGTATTGTTATATTATGACATGTAGGCTGAAAAAGAAATTACAGCAGTATATTTTAGTTTATTTGTATATTATTACTGCGTTGACAATTTTATGTATCTTTCGTGTTAAACATAACAAATTGCAATTCTTTATCTTTCAGTTTCAGCGAAATGGACAACACTTTATTCATCAACAAGTTCTTACTATTCAACGACAATATGTCATTGATAAGTGGTGTTGTTGGCAATATAATCCTCATTTATTTGCTCAAAACTCAAACTTCAAAGTTAATGAAACATTACGCAAGACTACTAATTTTACACTGCATTACTGATTTACTGTACTTAATTATTGGGTACGTGCAGAAACATGTAAGTATGGGGAAAGGTCGGGTGACATTCATGTGTGAATAACATGTGACTTTCATGTGACATATGATAGCTATAAAAAAGTTCTACCTTATCCTACCCTACCGTTTTTTGCCTTGCCTTGCCTTGCCTTGCCTTGCCTTGCCTTGCCTTGCCTTGCCTTGCTTTGCCTTGCCTTGCCTTGCCTTGCTTTGCCTTGCCTTGCCTTGCCTTGCCTTGCCTTGCCTTGCCTTGCCTTGCCTTGCCTTGCCTTGCCTTGCCTTGCCTTGCCTTGCCTTGCCTTGCCTTGCCTTGCCTTGCCTTGCTTTGGCTTGCTTTGCCTTGCCTTGCCTTGCCTTGCCTTGCCTTGCCTTGCCTTGCCTTGCCTTGCCTTGTTTTGCCCTGCCCTGCCCTGCCCTGCCCTGCCCCACCTATCTTACCCCCACGTTACTTTACCCCCTGTCCGTACGGTACAGTAACTTAATCTCCATTACTTTGTCTCGCTCCATCCTACCCTCTTTCACAAAGAAGTTATTTTAGGAGGTATACGCCTTTGATGGAGTAGTATTCATGACAATAAACGGCCTTACTACCAGCTTCAGTAAATACGTGTCTGGCTGGATTACTACGATGAGTTTTTACATGGAAATGATGGAGTTGGCTATGATGATCTTTGACTTCTTTTATCGATATAACTCAATTTGCAGGTAAGAATGACACTATTTAAAAAATTTAAACCTAAAAAATTTTCGAAAATTTTTAAAATTTTAAAAAAATTTAAAATTTCATGCTTTGCTCTGTAAACAAAGTTTCTTCCAATTTTTTCAAAAACTTTAAAACTCTTTTTCAGAAACTACATAATGTCAGATCGTCAACTCTACACTTCGGTAACTGTAATTTACATTGTGGTGTTTATCCAAGCCGTACCACCATTTCGAATGTCACAAGTAATGGAAACAGAATATCATGACAATTTACTACGTCAGTATCTGGGCTATGTGCCTTATTACTGCGCTGCTAAAAATGTATGTTGAACTTGAGTTTAACTTCTTTTAAAGCTTGATTTAGAGTAACAGGATAAGCCTAAAAAGTCCCAATTTTGACTTTCAAAGCCTATAAATAAGCTTAATAGCTAAAGTTTTAACTTATAAGCCTAAAAATCAAAAGCCTTAATTTTAACCTCATTCTAGACCCCATTCGATCGCACCATGGTACTTTCTTCAACAGTGCTGACAAACCTTTTCTGTGTCTTTTGCTTCATGCTAGTTTTGTGGAAAATCAACCGGTTTTTAAAAGTCAACCGATGCGTTGTCAAATCAACCAGATCAGCTGAAATTGAAAAACAAATCACTAGGCTTTTTCTTGTTCAGGTAAGTAATATAACCTAGTCTTAGTCCTAGACAAAGCTATAACTAAGGAAAGGTACAGGTCCTAGTCCAGAGTCCAGACCCAGAGCCCTAGCCCAGAGCCCTAGCCCAGTGCCCTAGCCCAGAGCCTTAGCCCAGAGCCTAAGCCCAGAGTCCTAGGCCAGAATGTCAGCCCAAAACTCTACCCCCAAAGCCCTAGCCTAGAGCCCTCGTCCAGAGCCCTAGTCTAGATCCCTAGCCCGGAGCCCTTGCCCAGAGCCCTATCCCAGCGCCCTAGCCCAGAGCCCTAGCCCAGAGCCCTAGCCCAGAGCCCTAGCCCAGAGCCCTAGCCCAGAGCCCTAGATCAGAGCCCTAGCCCAGAGCCCTAGCCCAGAGCCCTAGCCCAGAGCCCTAGCCCAGAGCCCTAGCCCAGAGCCCTAGCCCAGAGCCCTAGCCCAGAGCCCTAGCCCAGAGCCCTAGCCCAGAGCCCTAGCCCAGAGCCCTAGCCCAGAGCCCTAGCCCAGAGCCCTAGCCCAGAGCCCTAGCCCAGAGCCCTAGCCCAGAGCCCTAGCCCAGAGCCCTAGCCCAGAGCCCTAGCCCAGAGCCCTAGCCCAGAGCCCTAGCCCAGAGCCCTAGCCCAGAGCCCTAGCCCAGAGCCCTAGCCCAGAGCCCTAGCCCAGAGCCCTAGCCCAGAGCCCTAGCCCAGAGCCCTAGCCCAGAGCCCTAGCCCAGAGCCCTAGCCCAGAGCCCTAGCCCAGAGCCCTAGCCCAGAGCCCTAGCCCAGAGCCCTAGCCCAGAGCCCTAGCCCAGAGCCCTAGCCCAGAGCCCTAGCCCAGAGCCCTAGCCCAGAGCCCTAGCCCAGAGCCCTAGCCCAGAGCCCTAGCCCAGAGCCCTAGCCCAGAGCCCTAGCCCAGAGCCCTAGCCCAGAGCCCTAGCCCAGAGCCCTAGCCCAGAGCCCTAGCCCAGAGCCCTAGCCCAGAGCCCTAGCCCAGAGCCCTAGCCCAGAGCCCTAGTTTTAGAGCCTCAGCCCAGAATCCCAACTCTAGCCCAGCTTTAGCTCTGGCTTCAACTCATGCCACAGTTATAGTCCAGAACAGACCAACAACCCATTCATAGCCCCAGCCGAATTTAGCCCAGCTGCAACCCGAGCCCCTGTTCCAGCTCCAAACACAGTTCCAGCATCCGCTCTGGATCCTAGCTTTAGCTTCAGCTTTACCTCTAGCTCTAGTTCCCGCCCCAGCAGTAATTCCAATCTCAGCCCCAGCTCTAGCCCAAGTCTTAGTCCTAGCTCTAGCCCTAGTTCTAGCTCTTTGGGTTTTAATAATGCTACATAGTTTTATACTATCATTAATCTTTTTAGCCTAAAAATCTAAGCTTTATTATAACAACTCTAAACCTTACACTAGTTATTATCTATATAATTCTAATTTAAATTCTAATCAACGCAATTTCAGAACCTAATCCCCATCTTCGTGCTATCAATCCCCTTACTCTGCCTGATCTCCTTCGCTTTTTTCGGATTCAACTTCGTACTCTTGGGCAAGATAACACGTGGAATTTTGTGTTGGACGGGAGCGGCCAAGTCATTGGCTGCGATTTGCGTTACACCAACATTTCGTCGAACATTTTGTGAAATCTTGGGGTTCGAAGTCAAACGACGACACTCGGTGTTCTCTACTCAAACACGGTCGTTAAATAACCGGAGGGTCAGTGATCGGTTCTGACTATGTTTTGATTTTAAAATTTGTTTTGGCATTTTATTTATACTTGAGGGCTAATAAATGGCAATATTAAACATAAATTTGAAAAAAAAATTGATAAAATTTTTTTAAAATTTTTTTTAAACATTTTAAAAAATTAAATTTTTATTTTACAAAACGATAATCCAAAGGCATATATAGACGTAAAATACGAATAAAAACGCCAAAAAACGTCTAATTGATACATTCTCGTTTCTCGGAGTCAAATGTGGTCTGCAGGTTGATTATTCCAACATCACACCAGTTTTGGTCTTCTGGGTCTGTGCTGATAATATACTTCTTGGGGATGATGAACTTTAGCTTTCGTTCACATGGCTGAAATTTCTAATGTCATTTTAAGATTGTAGTTTATAAATGTACCCTGCCCTGCTCTACCCTACCCTATTCTACTCTATCTTACTCTCGCCCACCGTACCCTACCTTATCCAACCCCTCTCTCACACTTCCGGCTCTGTCTTTGCCTTGCCTTGCCTTGCCTTGCCTTGCCTTGCCTTGCCTTGCCTTGCCTTGCATTGCCTTTGCCTTTGCCTTTGCCTTTGCCTTTGCCTTTGCGTTGCCTTTGCCTTGCCTTTGCCTTGCCTTTGCCTTTCTTTGCCTTTGCCTTGCCTTTGCCTTTGCCTTTGCGTTGCCTTTGCCTTGCCTTTGCCTTTGCCTTTGCCTTTGCCTTTGCGTTGCCTTTGCCTTGCCTTTGCCTTGCCTTTGCCTTGCCTTTGCCTTTGCCTTGCCTTTGCCTCGCCATTGTGTACCCGGCTCTTATTTTTTTACAAAACCTTTTTCTGCCCTGCCCGGCTCTTCCCTACCTTGCTTTACCTTTTTATGTCCTGCCCTGACTTTTCCTCCCTTGTCCTGTATTGACCTATCATGTGCTATTTTACGATACTCTACAATACTCTATTTTTTCAAAACGCCATTCCTTACCATAATAATTTTCTGCTACACCAGGTACACCCTTAGCGTATCTTCTTTCTATCACCTATACCATACCCTTACAGTTATTATTTAAGACAATATACTGTATTAAACCTACCGTAGCCTCATCATTGCAATTGTGCCAAACATACAAAACCGGGTCGATGTCGGTTAATTCTCTAGTGAATCCGGTCAATTTGAATTCACCGTTCTTCTCGACCAACTTCTCATCCAAAGTGTCATCTGGGTCCGGTCCGGTGTCAATATCGGTAATTCGGACCTTGGCACCTTCACAGCCTTTACCTCCACACATTAGGCGACCTTTCACTGCTACGCCTTGCTTTCTCATGGCTTCTACTGAGCCGAGGAGGACTAGGGCTAGGCCTAGAAGGTATAGGGATCGCATGGCTGAAACGTGAATTTAGAGTTGTTGTAAGGTAGATACTGTAGGTTATGGCATGATAAGATACTATAAAAAACAACGAAAAAAGTCCTAGCCATGACTTAACTCCTAGAAAGATCCCTAGCCCGGAGCCCTAGCCCAGAGCCCTAGCCCAGAGCCCAAAGCCCTAGCCCAGAACCCTAGCCCAGAACCCTAGCCCAGAGCTCTAAAACCAGTCATAGCTCTAGCCCTGCCAATTACCTTCACTATCGCCGTAAAATTATCTTTTTGTGATTAGTAAGGAATTAAACGTCTTTCTCTATCAGTAAACGACCTTCACGACTGTTTTTTGTTTACTTCCTTGAGGGCCTTTTTACAACTTTTATCAACAAAATAAATATAATTTCCTTATGAAAAATGAACAAGTTTTAAAAAAGTGTTATCAGTAGCCTATTTACAATGTTTTTGAAATTTTGAATTTTATGTTTTGGGAAAGTTCATAATAAAAAAATTCTAAAATAACGTTTTTTTTGAAAAAATAGTTGAATCTAGGCCATAAAGTAGGCTAGACTTATATTTTGTGCTATAACTTTTTCAATAAAATAGGTAACAATTTAAAATTTTGTGTCATAATAGAAAATGGTGATGGTCAACTATCTCTTAAAAGAAAAATTTAAACTTTGTCAAAATTTAAATGTTACAGTACTTTTACCAAACTCTACAGTTGAAAAGAACTAAAAAAACTTATACTGAAGGCAGAAATTTTTGACCCCCCCCATCTAACTTGGCTATGAATGAAGATTTTAAACTTTAAAAATTGTTATTAATTTTGTGTCAAAAAAATCTTATCTTGTGGTAAAGGCAGTCAAGAAAGTGTTTGTTTCCGTTTAAAAGCAAAATTAAAAGATTTTGAATCAACAAGAGGAATCACGTTCAACTTTTTTCAAAATTCTTAAATGAACAGCCCTTTTATCATAAGCAAACCAATCTGGTTAACCTTGCTCTACCTTACCCTACGCTATTATACTCTACCCTACTTTACCCTACTATATCTTATTTTATCCAACCCTGCCCTACTTTACCCTAATCTACCCTACTTTTGTCATATTACCCTACCATTTAAAGTAAACTATCTTTTTATCATAAGTAAATCAATACAGTTTTAAAAGAGAAGACAGAAAAAAATGTCCTCCTCCACTCCAGACCCCCCTCCTCCCTTAAAAGCTATTTTTTAATTTTATTTTGTTTAAACATTTTTTGAGCATTTCCCTCCTCTCAGGTCAAAATCACCCGTCGATTACTGATTATAAATATAAAAACATAAAAAAAACTATTATTATTACTACACCAAAAACTCAAAAAGATCGTACTACCGTTAAGACGACAAGAAATGCCCAAACAATATCTAAAAACAGACCTCAAGACCAATAAACAAACCTTATCAGCGGAAATTAATGCCTCAAGTGATTGGCGTTTATCATTAATTTCCGACTTAATGACTCTGTTTACTAACAACACAATCAGTACGATTGTTTGGTATCGAAAAATTAATTTTTTTGATAGTATTAGCTCGACCAAACTTTGATTTTTCTATCTTACCCTGCGCTTTTTTAAAGTTTGATACCTACAACAAGTTGCTTCTTCTAAAAGTGTCAAAGAATCATGATGAAGTGGTTAATTGTCGCCTTCTTCATTGTTAATGTGGCTGCTTCGACCTATGATGACAATGTTGCTACACGATCAATCAAGATTGAAGGGATTCTGAAGTGCTCCAAAGAGCCGTTGGTTGGGGCTGTCATCAGAGTTTTTAAAAATAACACTGAAGGTGAGTTATATTAAGAACTGCCTTGCCTTGCACTATCCTACCTTACCCTACCCTACCTTACCCTACCCTACCCTACCCTACCCTACCCTACCCTACCCTACCCTACCCTACCCTACCCTACCCTACCCTACCCTACCCTACCCTACCCTACTCTACCCTACCCTACCCTACCATATTCTATCATATTTTACTCTATATCTGCTTTGCACTGTCTTATCCTACCATACCCTACCCTATATTGGTCTACTGTATCTTGCTTTACTTTACCCAGTCAGACCCTGCCCGACCCTGCCCAACTCTGCTTTGCCAACCCTGGTTGACCTACTGAACCAGAGGTGATACTGGCATATGCTAAGCAGGACGAATGAGAACCCTACCGTACAATATCATATCCTAACCTGCTCTATCTCACCCTGCGCTACTATACTTCACTCATACTGCGACCTCTCTTTAAAAATTTTAAAAAATTGCCTACAGTCAAATTTAAAAATTAAAAAGAAATTATTTCCAGACCTTGGCCAAGTGATTGCAACAGGAAAAACAGACAGCACTGGCAAGTTCTCGGTCGAAGGAGATACTGCTCGCTTCAGCGCTGCTGAATCTGAAATTGAGCCTTTCTTGAGAATCTATCATCAATGTGAGGAGAAGGTCAGTTTTAAAAATATTTTTTTTTAATTTAAGCCTAAAAATAATTTTTTAAAACAAAAAAGTCATTTTTAAGCCTAAAATAACTTCTTACTGCTTTAAGCCTAAAATTTTTTCATTAAAATTTAGGCTTGAAACACTTACTATAAGCCTAATTTTTTAAAATTTTATACCCAAAAACCGTATTTTAGAAGAGCTACAAGAGAGTGCAGCTCCAAGTCCCGAAAGACTTTGTCAGTTTGGGTAAGATGCCACGTAGAACCTACAACATCGGCCTTCTCAACCTGGAACTCGGCTATCCTGGCCAAACTACAGTGAAAACTGTTGAAGGATTGTAAACAGTATCTTTTTAAAACTTTTCAAAACACTTTTATAGATAATAAACATTGCGTATTTTAGACTAGGCAACCACAAAGTCAGACAAACACTTGGGCTAGAACTATAGCTAGAGTAAAGCTAGGACTAGAACTTAGGCAAATGCCAGAGCCGGGGCAAGGGCGAAAACTATGGTTAGTGCTAGGGCTAAAGCTAGGGCTCTGAGCTAGGGCTAGTGCTAGGGCTAGGGCTAGGGCTAGGGCTAGGGCTAGGGCTAGGGCTAGGGCTAGGGCTAGGGCTAGGGCTAGGGCTAGGGCTAGGGCTAGGGCTAGGGCTAGGGCTAGGGCTAGAGCTAGGGCTAGAGCTAGGGCTAGGGAAAAATGTAAACACAAAACACTTGTAAATTTATTCAAATTTCCAATAATCAAATGAGTTTAACCGCGAGGTGACGTGTTGACGGCCGTCTTGATTTCGTCATGTGACTCTTTCTTTGATGATCCAGAGTTAGATGAGGCGGGTGGGACACTGTGTTGGGATGGACCTGCCTCTGAAATGCATAGTTTAATATTGTAGTAGGGTCACATTAGTCTGGTTTTGATACAAAATAACCAAAAATTGAAAAAAGTTGGGCCGAATTGTCGAACTCATTTTCAATTCTTCAGTTGACTATAAAAAGTGTTTTCTTAAGCTAACACTGACTAAGAGGTTTTTCCAATAAGGTCTTTGACTATAAAGTTATAGTGTAATATACTTAAAACTTGATAAGATACAATATTACTTACCCTAGTCGGTGCTTTTCGGCGTTGATACAATAGCATCAGGTTGGTTTGGATCCATATTCATGGGCCATTTGGCGGAGACAGATTCATACTTGTTGGTAGTTGGAGTAGAATGGCCTGAAAGTATAACACATAAGTGTTTACATTCTGCAGTTCATAAAAGAAGCCCTTTTAGCAATTACAAAAGCTTCTGAAGTCAATATTTCCATCAAAAATCAGAGAAAAAACTATTTGATGCTACTACATATTATCTAAAAAAACCTTACCTTCAGCGACAATCTTGACATGCTTCTCCTCCTCAGGCACTCTGATCACATTATCCTTCTTGTTTTTATGCAAATTCCGCTCGTCGATCGTGTTCGGATTGCCAACATGTTCATTCACCTTCAACTTGTGTCTGGCGTCGAGTTTGTGGAACTTGGACTTGGCCACTCGAACCTTCTCGGAGAAGGTCGGGTCTCGAGGGGTCTTCTGATCTTGGCCGAGGTAATCGTTGGAGTTGATGCGTCTCGGCTTCTTCTTCGGGCGCGGCTTCGAGGACTTGTCCAGACTGCTAATGTCTTTGGATTTGGAGGATTTGGATGACCTTGTGATAGAACCTGATGTCATCTTGGAGTCTTTCTGAGATGTTGAACGTTTTCTATAGGATACGTAGTGGCCTTTGGTTGGTCTGCGTCTATGATGATTCTTGTTGATAGATCGCTTCGTGGACTGTAAATAGGAGAATTTCAAATTTTAAACGGTTGATATAGAAAACGCATATTATGGTCAACACAACTCAACAATCTCAAAACGTTTTCTTTAACAAAAAGTCTATAAATTAAGTTCTATAAATTTCAAAAAATATCAGAAAATCGGCAAAAATAGAAAAAATAAGCAAAAAACAAAAAAATAACGAAAAGTAGGCAAAAATAGCGAAAAAATATGCAAAAATGAACAAGAAAACCCACTGGCATCAAAAAGAATGCCGCCATTCGATAAAACAGCACCACGACTAGCACAACAAAAGCAATTCCCAACTCGATGCTGGCGAACTGGAAGATATATATCAGCTTTTCGTACCTAGCATACCACTCATCTTCGGAACTCATTTTCCTCATGCCGCGCCAGACGGTCAACGTAATTGTAATTGAAAAAAAAGCATTTTAAAAAAATTTCAAAAATTTTAGAGAATTGAAAAAATTTCAAAAATTTTAAAAATTTTTTGAGAATTTTGAAAAATATGCAAATTTTGTCTTAAAAATTGAATTTTTTGGCATTTTTTTCAAATTTTAAAAATTTGCATATTTTTTTTTTAAATTCAATTTTTTCACAATTTCATTTTAAAATGTCACGTAATTTCGAAAATTTTCATAATTTCAAAAAATTCTTCAAAATTTTTCATTTTCAACTTCAATCACGCTTAGAGCCAGTAGTGGTGCTCGGAACGATGAAAATTATCTCCGAAGAAGAGTGGTGGTATCCTAAATACACAAGGCTGTCACATATCTGCGATTTCGCTATCTTCGCGTTGGCAGCTTCGTTGATTGCGCTGATCATGGAGGCGTGCTATGTAGCGGCCAGGTTCTTTGCAATGCGGGTAGGTTTTTTCGGCCATTTTTGTTTATTTTTGGTCATTTTTTTGATATTTTTTTGAAATTTTAGACTTTTGTTTAAGAAAATGTTTTGAGATTGTTATGTTGTGTTGACTATAACATGCGTTTCCTATATCGACCATTAAAAATTTAAAATTTCCCAATTTTCAGCAAATAAAGAAGAAATCAGCCAAGAAGCGCCATCGTAAGCGTCGATCAAGCAAAGGCCATCATGTATCCCATAGAAAACGTCCAACTTCACAGAAAGACTCCAAGAAGACATCAGGTTCTATCACGAGATCGTCCAAATCCAAATCCTCCAAATCCAAAGACATTAGCAGTTTGGACAAATCCTCAAAGCCGCGTCCGAAGAAGAAGCCTAGACGCATCAACTCCAACGATTACCTGGGCCAAGACCAGAAGACCCCTCGAGACCCGACCTTCTCCGAGAAGGCTCGAGTGGCCAAGTCCAAGTTCCACAAACTGGACGCCAAACACAAGTTGAAGGTGAACGAACATGTTGGCAATCCGAACACGATCGACGAGCGGAATTTGCATAAGAACAAGAAGGATAATGTGATCAGAGTGCCTGAGGAGGAGAAGCATGTCAAGATTGTGGTTGAAGGTGAGGCTTTCTTGAGGTTTAGGTAACAGTATCTTTAGTCGTTCTTTCTCTGATTTTTTATGAAAATATTGACTTCAGAAGCTTTTGTAATTGCTAAAAGGGCTTCTTTTATGAACTGCAGAATGTAAACACTTATGTGTTATACTTTCAGGCCATTCTACTCCAACTACCAACAAGTATGAATCTGTCTCCGCCAAATGGCCCATGAATATGGATCCAAATCAACCTGATCCTATTGCATCAACGCCAAAAAGCACCGACTACGGTAAGTAATATTGTATCTTATCAGGTTTTAAGTATATTACACTATAACTTTATAGTCAAAGACCTTATTAGAAAACCGGTGTTGGCTTAAAACAACACCTTTTATAGTCAACTGAAGACTTGAAAATGGGCCGAGTTCAACAATTCGGCCCAACTTTTTTCAATTCCTGATTTTTTATCAAAACCAGACTAATGTGACCCTACTACAATATTAAACTATGCATTTCAGAGGCAGGTCCATCCCAACACAGTGTCCCACCCGCCTCATCTAACTCTGGATCATCAAAGAAAGAGTCACAGGACGAAATCAAGACGGCCGTCAACGCGTCACCCCGCGGTTAAACGCATTTGATTATTGAAATTTAAATAAATTTTAAATATTTATTCAAATTGGTACTCGTTTTTATTATCCTATTAGCAGTTCTTCAAGAAACTTTATATTGTGTACCTGAAATGATTGTCATATTATAGTAGATTATTCAAGAAAATATCTTGAACTTTGCTGGACATTCACCCGCAAAGCGTAAAAATAAGTTTTTGAACATAGGTTTATCAGTAACTATCAAATATGAAATCAAAAATTTAAAATTTTCCGATTTATTCAACAAAAAACAACTTTTTTATACCTATAACAATCTTTTTGTATTTTTGACTTATCCATGAAGCTCTTTAACAAAACAAAGCTACGAATTTTGTCAAAATACAATCAAAAATAGTACAAACTAATCCTTTTTGTTCTTTGCATTAAATTCAGCACGAATCTTTTCAGCATAGTGAATATCAAATAATAATTTGGGCGTTGTCTTCGGCGGAGGCCATCGCTGATCTTCGTCTGAATACAAATCAGCCATCTCGATACTTCCCTTCTCTTTTATAAGCTTGTGATACGCCTTTTCTCTGTAATATTTGATTTTTACTTTAATAAATACCTGAGAGAAAAAAGATAACATTATCGATATGTTACACTTGATCACACACTTTGTCAGACCTAAAACACCAAAAATAGAAAGTTTTATCCCACTCACCTCTTTTCTATTTCATTATCAACCTTGTAGCTAACATATGGCTTCAATTCAAACCCAGTCAAGTCTGGTACAATCAGTTCTGGCACCATTTCTGGCACATGTACAAATTCTTTGCTCACTGGATCCACATAACCAGTTGGTTGAGTCTTTGTGTAGTCTGAATACACATTATTTATCAATTATTCTCTATAATTATCTTCTACACATATTAGGTCAACTTTTTTACTGCAAACACTAGCTTTAACGTCACTATGTCGCATTGAAAATGGCAATTCAAACAAGGTATACCATATTTTCAATCTCAAAAACAATTTAAATAATCGTTTCTTTCAAATATCTATCAAAAAGACAGTTTCACCCTTTGCTACCTAAAAATTTGAATAATAAACATCTGAAGAAGACTTACTCCACAATTGTTTCGGATTCGTCTTCTCAATCTTAGGATTCAATTCAGGGAACCATCTGTTAACCGGCCATTTGTTTTTGTCATGCCTTTGTGGCCCAATCTTTCTCAGACCTTTGGCCCAATAATACATTGGCCATGGCGACCGGAATTGATGAGGATGCAGCGATCGCACCATCTAAAAATTGTTGTTATAATGCTTTTAATACCTATGAAACAAGTTAAAAGTAAAGTAATATAATAGAAACGTTAAAATATCAAATTATAAAGCAATTTTACACAACATATTACTTATAAAAAAGCTGTAAAACAAAATTTACCAAAGGACCAGAAAATTATATAAAAAAGACAAGTTATATGATAAAAGATGTTGTTGTTAAAAAGGAAAACTTGGCTCATTTCTATTTTTGAGTCAACTTCTTCGCTGAGGCTATTTTTATTTTTGTTCAAGTTGTGTTTAAGTTTTGCTTGTTTTTTCAACTTTGTTTACATCAAATCAATTGATTTTATAGTACTATAACGTACATATAGTTACATTTAACTTTTTACATTATTTTATGTCGATGTTTCAATGTAAATTTAATTTCCAGGAAAGTTTTACGTAGTTTTGTGGTTAACTTTGGTCTCACGGTAAGAAACATTGTTTTTAAAGTGTTTACTTTTACATTGAATAATGAATGTTTGGAGAAGATAGCGACCATTATAGGTTATACCTTCTTGCAGAAATTGAAAGGTTTCTTTGTTGTTTTATTATCTTTAGTCGTTAGAAAGATTTTATATTGAAAGATCCTGTTCCTATTCAAAAAGTTTGGCTTAACTGATATTTGTAAATTTTTTTATAGGTTTGTAGGACGTTTTAGTAAGGTGTTCTTATAATTATCACTCGTGGAAACACTTGATTTTGCGTGTTAAACTTACATTGTCCATACCAACTTGAATATCTAACTAAACTTTTAAAATACAGCAAAATGGAGAACGCCAGTGCTAATCGTTTGGTACAACAACTTCAAGCCGAAACTCAACGCCAGAAGTTCAGCGAACAAGTAAGCACATTGACGTCGAGATGTTGGGATATCTGCTTCAACGACAGCCGACCACCAGCAAAAATGGACGGAAAGCACTCGAGTTGTCTTGCCAACTGTGTAGATCGTATGTTGGACGCTTCACAATTTATGGTTGATCATCTTCAAAATTCTCAATTGGCCAAGTAATTCGTATCTTCTCTATGGTGACATCAAAAGTTTTGTTTTTTACTTTTTTTAAATTGATTTCTTGTTTTAGGCTTGTTTTTGTTGAATAAATAGAAATATTTATGTTTTTTTACAATTTATTGAGATTATTACAAAAGTTTTTGAATTGAAATGCCGTTGGGTAATAGACGTACATTAGATAAATGACTTAAAAAGAGTAAATTTTAGAAAAGTTTTATTTTTAAACGATAGTCACTTTTTTAATTGAATATTGTGAGTAGATCAAGTTGATGTCTATCATTTTTCCGTTGCATCATCGCGATGTGGAAGCACCTAACGTATTTTACATTAACAGCAAACGTCCATTTTGGTCCCGACACGAAAACGAAATGCGCTAACAGACAGAAGCGAAATGCCAATCACGTGAAGAAACAGACGGAAAATTTCGTTCCGCAGGGCTTTTTTGTCGCTTTTTTTCCGAACGCAGCGCACTTATATTGTTTCTCGACCAGTTTTTGGCTTGATCACGAGTTTCGTGACATTATTTTAGTTATATTAGTATTTGATTTGAGTTTGGACGATTCTGGGACGGAAGTCCGAAGTTTGTTTTCCAGGAAGCGAAAGTGAGTGTCTTTTGATAGTAATTGGTTCTGGTGCTTGGATTATCGTAAGTAAGGTAGTTTTTTTGTTTTTTCTTGATTTAGATATTACAATTTATGAATCTGAGCAAAGGTATTGTCTAATCATGGGAAAGCTCTTATTGATTGAAAAATTTAGGATGATAGCTTTAAAGTTTAAATTTTTCAATTCTTTAACTTTTAAAAGCGTTTCTGTTCTATAATGCAGAGTTTTGTAGATTTTTCGATCACATGATTTTGATTGTTTTATGTTGAAATTACATCATAGAGAACATATTTCTTCAAACTGGTATAGTTTTGTAAAGTGTCATAAGATCAAACGCTTTTTATAAACATTGTCTGGCAGTCTCTTTATTTTAATAATTTTGGTGACTTAATTTAATCAAGTCTGTTATATTTTAGTTTTTCAGGCTTCATAAAGCCAATTTTTGCCCTTTTTAAATGTCAAATCTTTAAAATTTTATTCCGACTCCACTTTTTAGAATTTTAGGGAGATAAAGTGCGTTTTAAGGGCAATTTATACGACCTCATGGATTACTCGAAAGAAAAGTCTATCTTTTGGAATATGCTTTCTGTGAATAATTAGAAATGAATGTTGTAGTAGGCTTTGTATGTGCAATTTTGAATAGAAACAGTTGGTTATGGACCTTTGTTCTGTTTGGGTACCATTAGTACTGATTAAGGACGTCGCTTTTAGTCTCGAGGAGTTCTACACTATTTTAATGAAAAATATTGCTGAAGTTCATAATACAATTTCAAAAACTAACTCATAGCGTTCGTCCGAGACGTAAAAAGCCGAGCACGAGTTTATGAAAGTCAGCCGATCGCACTTTGTGTCTATTTCCCTTTATTTCTTGTCACTTTCCCTTTTGCGAAAAGAAAAACTTTGAGCTGATGGTTCGCGAAACCAGAGAACGGTTTTACTTGAATGGTGTGTAAATGAAGTGAGAGGTTTTGGTTTTGAGTTGGGTGTGTTTTAATTTATGGTACTTGGGTATCATCAGGGAATGGAGATTTGGGTATCTGAAAATTGAAGGTTTTTGTATTATGAAGGTTTTTTGCAGGGGAGAAGAGGGGGATTGAAACAAAATTACCCCGCCTGGAATTATCCTTCTTTTCCGGCACTGCTTATAGGTCTTATTTCCAAAAAAAAATTTTTCAGTATCAAAAGAGGAAGAAAAAAAAGAGAGAAAATTAACATAGTTTTCGAAGTTTGTTACCTTCATTGTGAGCCTTTATTTATTGTGCGAACATTCTGATTCATCACATTAACGAAAAGATTTCAAAAATATACTTTGCGTTTGTTTAGAGTTCCTGAAAGCCTTTGGTTTCTTTATGATTATAATTTCAGTTTTGTCTATTGTGCTCTCAACTTGTTGTTGGTTGGCTTGAAGGTGGAATACTTGGGTTTACGTTGAGCTAGGTGCGTTTAAAGTAAAGGTTTTTTTATTGACCAGGCATGTTGCTAGGGGCGGGGGTGGGTGGAGGGGGGTGGATTCCCTTTTCGGAGCTGACCTGTACTGACATAGCCATTTTTCGTCATACTTTATGAAAAAAGGAGTTTTCCAAATAAAGAACCCTAAAACAAGCTGATGGGATTAAAAGCGGATTTTAACACAATCACGTGCACCCACCTTTACGTCACCTGACCTTAACCATGTGTAGTCAGCGAAAGTCCACTTGACTATGCATAATTATAGGATAAAACCCGACATTAAATATCAAAAGGCTGATTGGTTTTTGGGTTTTCGTTTTGTGGGTATGGCGAAGTACTAGGATATTCATTTTGTTTGGCTATGGCCGAAATATTAGGGTGGCTGAAAAAGTTTTGTCGTTTTTTAACATAGCTTTGCATGATGAAAAACGTCAAGACTTTTTTTGGCGTTTAATATTTTGTTATGGCGGCTAGTGGGTACTCTTAGGGACCTCTCTTCCTTTTTATAGGGACTGGGTACTTATTTTTGATATCGGACGGGGAGGGGGTGGTTTTTTCTTTGGAGAGAGGGGGAGGTAAAATAATTTTAAATGAAACTTTTTTTAAATAGCAGTGAAAGAGAAATTTTAAGTTATTTCAATTGTAAAAAAAAATTTTTTGATTTGGAAATGGGGATGGGAAGAAATAAAAAAAAATTTTTTAATGATTTTACTCCTCAGGAAAATAACACTCGGCCGGCAGGGCTAATATTTGTAAAATGACATATTTTGGCAGAGTCCATATTTAAAAATTGCATCTTTTACTTTTTTGTCATTGCAAGGGCTCATCTTTTAAAAAATTACAAGTCTTGGCTAATTTATGTCCCATGATTACTACCCCGCCTAATTTCGAATTTGCCTGATCGAAACGCCTCACGGGGTAAACAGTTTTGGTATAGTTCTTTCGAACTTTGATAAACAAGCCACCAAGACTATTTCAAAACACCAAAAAACAGATTTTTCGATCAAAATTCAGCTTTTATTTGCTTCTTCATTTCAATGCTATTTATGAAGTCGGGTTTGTCGTTGAACTGCCTTATAATAAAGGTTTATAAGGGCCAATGATTACTCATTATAAGTGTTTGAAAAGGCCAATGATTACGAAATTTAACTGAATTTATTGATTAAACTTCACGGAAATTATTGATTATGAAATTTGTTTTGGAATAGCAAGAATTTTTGAATTAAAGTCATTTTGGAATGGGAAAACAAAGCAATGTTACTTGTTTATGGAGTGCTAATCATGGGAAATGATAATATATCTGTATTGGCTAGGTTAATGTGGTACTTTTCAAGTCATAAAGTGCGTAGAATGGGATTTTATTAGGTGATTTAGGAGGAATTTTAGCTTCATAAGCATTTTTTAACAAAATCAGTATGCTTGGGCTAAATTATTAGTACTTGTTTGGTCTATAATTACGTAGAACAAACTTTCATATCATTGCGTGGTCAATAACTGCATAGAATCATCTTTATTTTGTGTAAATATGCTGTATAGTTGATGTTATCATCAATTTTTAGTCCAAAAACGCTCATTTTAGCTAAGAAAACAAGGAAATAAAATTTTTAATAAAAAATGGTGAAGAATTAGGGTTCAAAAGTTATCGGAAATTGTCTGAGAACATTGTTTAGTAATAGCCGATTTGATAAGAAGCTTGTTATCGGTCTGGAACGTGCTAAATTACAGGTTTTTTGGATTCTACAATACAAACCATTAATTTTTTAAAATTAGGGTTAATGGCGTTTTTTAGGGCATTAGTTGACATCAGGAGTAGTTTTAGATTGATTTTGGGATAAATAACGAAGATTTTTGGTTACGATTTTTAGGTAACAAAAAATTTTTTTTTGATGAAATTTGAACTTTTATGTGTTGTAGTAGTTGTGTTTTGGCTTTGTGAGATTAAAAATTCTAACAATTGTTATTTTTTTTTAGTTTAAAATTTTGAAATTTAATTTTTGATTTTTTGTGATTTTATTAATCTATATGCGAATTTCGTTATATTTTACTATTTTAATCGACTGTGTACGCGTATGACCTTAATTTTTAAGCAAAAACCAAGATTTGTTACTTAAATTTTGTTTATTTCCAGATATTTAAACATAAATAAGAATGAGTAACAACAGAAAGAAGGCGCTGTTGAAGATCATCATCCTCGGCGACACCGGCGTCGGTAAAACGTCGTTGATGAACCAGTATGTGAACAACAGATTCAGCTCACAATACAAAGCCACCATTGGAGCTGACTTCTTGACCAAGGATATTCACATTGATGGCAGAACGGTGACTGTTCAGGTAAGGGGTTTTTGTTTTTTTGTGATTTTAGGTAGGTGGAAGAGACGGAAAAGGTAGAGAAGAAGCTTTCATAGTGTGAGAAAGTTAAGATTATGGTTTTATGGGACTTTTTATACCTAAAATAAGCCGTTTCGAACTTTTCTAGTACATGAAATTCATAAATAATATCAAAAACAATATTGGCTTTTCAGATCTGGGACACCGCAGGCCAAGAGCGCTTCCAATCGTTGGGTGTAGCCTTCTACAGAGGGGCGGATTGTTGTGTTTTAACCTACGATATTACGAATTCAAATTCTTTCAAATCTCTGGAAACCTGGAGAGACGAGTTTCTAGTCCAAGCATCGCCGCGTGATCCAGAAAACTTCCCATTTGTTCTTTTGGGTAACAAATTGGATCAAGAACCGAGAAGAGCTGTCACAACGAGACGAGCCGAAACTTGGTGTCAGAACAAGGGTGGAATACCTTATTTTGAGGTAAGGGGGTTTTGTTGAGGAAGGAGATGTAGAAATTTGTTTTTCTTATTTTTGGAAAGGTCTTTTCTTGTTTTATGATAACAGAGTTTTTTGGATGAAAAAATTGAGTTTTTTTTTGGTTTGGAAAGTCTTGTCGTCATTTTGTAGAGGTTTGTATGGTCAAAAACGACAAGGCATTTTTGAAATTTTAAATTTTTTTGAAAATTATTTGGTTGCTCAAATAATTCTGCGCTATCTAACTCAATAATTTACTTTGAGAGAGGGCACGGAATTATTTGAACAACCCAACTTAAAAATTTGAATAAGTCACCTTAAAATGATAACAAAATTAAAAAATATTTTCAGGTATCAGCGAAGGAAGGGTCGAACATCGAAGAAGCCTTCCAGTCCATTGCTCGTGCCGCCTTAGCTCGCGACTCGCAGGACTCACTACACGACTATCCCGACTTCCCTGACCAGATCCGAATCAGCCCGTCGGATCGGAACCGTGACAGCGGCGGTTGCAACTGTTAAGCCATCTCGATAGTTCAGTCTCGGGTCCCTTTTTCAATATTGTAATTACATTCAGTTTTGTAAACTTTGTGTCATTTTTTGAATTTTATTTCAAGGTTTTGGGCTTTTTATGTTGTTTTTGAACTTTATAATGGGTTGAGCCAAAAGTAATGGGACATAAAGTGTCCCGCTACTTCTGGTTCAACCTAAAACGCCTAAAATCATTTGTTTGAACACTTATTGGGTTGTCCAAGAAATCCAGAGCTTCAACCTCAAAGAATTCTGCGAAAGTTGGCTCAGAGTTTTTTGAACAATTTAGTAAAAGTTGTAAAGAAAGTAAGTGCTTGCTTATCGACCGTTTTTGCCTTTAGGGCGCATTTAATCAACTCGAATACAGATTAAGCGCGTTTTTTCACTTTCCCCTCCGTTTTTCCATACGATTTACTATATGATACATTGTGTTCGATGCTATATTGTATGATGTTTTGTGTTTAACACTGAATTTATTGTATAATACACGGTGTTAGACATTATATTGTTCAATACGTGGTGTTAGACACTATTTTGTACGATACATGATGATAGACACTATATTGTATGATACATGGTGTTCAACACTTGTACAAATTCTAGTTTCGCAGTTATTGTAAACAGTTCTTTGTGATTTCAAAGTTTTTTGACGAAGTTTTCGATTTTTTCGTGGTTTTACAGTGATTTTGATAGATTTTTTTTTTAATTTTACACATTTTCAAATAAAAAATATTACCTAATTTTAATGAAAACCCCGCCAGAAGACAATACCACATCTTTTGATAAAAATAAATTTAAAACAAAGTCATCACATAAAAAATGGCACAGCTTTTCTGGCCTCAAAATCAAGAACTTCTGTAAAATTTTCGAAAAAAAATCATTTTTAAATCATTGTAAAAATGTTGTTTTAAAAACTTATTGACCATTTTGGCTCAAATTGTTTCTCGTTATTACCTATTGTCAATGGAACAACAATTTTTAATTCTTTTGTTACATTTCTTGTGTATATGAGCGAGTACATTGATGTCTTAAAATTAAGATTTTTTTGTGAATAAATTTGTAAAATACGCATTGGAAGATAATTTTTATCCGTGAGATCGGCTGGAAGAATATTTTTTTTATTGGCGGTAAAATGGAAATAAATTTTGTCTGGCACCGTGCAGGCTATAATAAAGTTTGATTGCACTGTGCAGAAAAATTTGTTACTTGGCTTTATAAAGAATGCTTGACTAAAATATATTTATACTATAGTTTTACATGTTCATAAATTTACTATTAAAATGTTTAAGACTATTTTGAGCAGTTTAGTATTCATTGCATAGCCAAAATGGCACGTTTTTAATATACTGCACCGTGCAATCAACTTTAAAAACTAATATTATTATAGACCTTTCTAGAAGAAAAAGTAATTTATATTGGAATCAGGTCTCTTTCCCTTGATTTATTCAAACTTTTTTTCAAAAAATATTTTCAATTTTTTAAACTTTTAAAAATCTGCACCGTGCAAGCCTTTTGACCTTTGACTATATTTTTAAAAATTTTGTCTATACAAGAGACAAGATTTGTATTTTACATCCACTTTTTATTTTAAAACCCTATTTTACTTTGATATATTCACCTTTCCACTTTCAGCATATTCACCATGATTGGCCGCGTAATGACCACTGTAAACCAACTGACTCGTCGTATCTTCATAACCCCAGTGTCGCAACAACGCGGTTTCAAGGTGCGAAAGTACCCGAAGCTGAGGTGTGAACATTGTTATTTCATTCGAGTTGACGGACGATTGCATGTGGAATGTCACAAACAACCTAAACACAAGCAAAGAGAAGAGTTCGATGTCAAAACATTGTGGTAGTCGTTAAATTCGGTTTAGTATTTAAATATGTAGGCGTAATGTTATTGTTGATTTGAGTTGTTATGGTCTCTAATAAAGAAATTTGAAAATGAATACGAAAAATTTATTTTGAAAAAAAAATTTTTGATTTCAAAAAATTAAGTCAGAATAGTAAAGTTAGCTTTTGGTAAACCATTATTAGCTCCTTTAAGTTAATATGATGATAAAACTGACCAGTTATGACAACATTTTCGTTACAACTAGTTAACGTTTGGGTCCCGACACGAAAAATTTCAAAACTCAATTTTACAGTTTTTTTCTTAAAAATGCCATGTCTTAACAATCTTTGTATAAAATTATTTTATTTTATTATCAAATCCTAGCTACAATATTACCAGCGACGACCAACAATATTTAAGACTTTTAGCTTGACTGTATACCTACATCAACATGCCTTTATCCATATTATAACAAATATTTAGCTATTGTATTCTCAGAATATAAAACCATAATTATTGTGCTATAAACTACTGTACAATCAACAATAAATGACAATGATAACGTCCATGGCCAACAAGAAATGGCAATAATAACAAAATTATCCTTTAATAACCGCGATTGGCCTTAGCTTTATGGCCTTATTGCTGATACCCGCTTTTTGGCACGTGTCCACCACATCGTGGACATTTTTGTACGATTCTGGCGCTTCTTCCATCACTAGTTTGGGGGATGCGACTCTGATGGATATGCCTAAAATCCGAATTTTAGGAAAAAATGGAAATTTTTTAGAAAAATTTTAAAAAATGCCATTTTTGTTAAACTGCTTTTATTGAAAAAACTTTTTAAGCTTGAAAAACTTTATTTGCTTGTTTTAAAATAGCAACGACTTTCTTTCCACTTTCTATTAAAGTGCCACAAAAGTCTTGTCGTTTTTGAACGTTGAAGGCAATGCAAAATGACGACAAGACTTTTGTGACACACTCATATACCTCCAAAACACTTTCCACCTACCCTTAGCCTTAAGGTTCTCCAAAACCTTCTCATATGTCAAATTCCTTCTGGCTTTAGCCCTAGACAGAGCTCGACCTGCTCCATGACAAGTTGTTCCAAACGTCTCCTCAAATCCAGTGGCAGTACCAGTCAAAACATAAGAGTTGGTACCCATAGAGCCTCCAATTAGTACTGGTTGTCCTGTCAGTTGATAATCGACCGGTATGAGGGGATGATTCGCAGGGAAAGCTCGAGTTGCGCCCTTCCTGTGCACACACAATTGTTTCGGCCGACCATTCACAAAATGCTCTTCCATTTTGGCAATGTTGTGTGAGACGTCGTAGATGACCTGCATGTCCAAGTCGTCTGGGGTCATGTTGAAAATTCGGGCAAATGCCTAAAAATTTTTTAAAATTAATTTTTAAGTGGCATTTTTAGTCTATGAATGAGATTCTCATCTTTCTAGTATTATTTTTGAATATAGTGTACCATTTTCTTATTCTTAGTACCATTTTTAACTTTTAAAATATTTATTTTTCATTTTTAGGTAATAAATTCATATTAAAAATGTCTTTTTAAACTTTAGGTGTCAAATCCAAACCATAAAAATTTAAAAACCAAAAAAAGCCTACCTGTCTAACACAAAACGTCATACAAGACCGATTGACAAAGGCAAAGTTGGCCGCAGCCGCCATTCCTTTCAAGTAATCCTGTCCTTCTTGGCTGAAAATCCTGGCACAGGCCAGTTGTCGATCATTCAACTCAATCTTATCCCTGACCATGGCTTTTTCCATAGATACTAAAGCATCGGTCGCTACTTGATGGCCTAGTCCACGACTACCACAATGTAACATAACACATACTTGACCAACATGATCGATGCCCATTTTTGATGCTGCGTATTTGTCATAGATTTCATCGACGATTTGTACTTCACCGTAGTGATTTCCTGCTCCTAGTGTTCCTAGCTGGAAATTATATTGTTTTAGTAGAATACCTCAATTTCATGACAAAGCCTTCGTTTTAAAGGCGATTTACCTGAGGCAGTCCTCGTTTTTTGGCCTTAGTAGACACTTTAGTTGCGTCAGCTTGTAACATCCTTCCATATTCTTCACAATGCTCCTTATCTTCAGCCCATGAGTAACCTTCTCTTAGCGTCCAATCCATACCCATTTCCAAACATTCCTCGAAATCCCTTGCCTAAAATTATTAAATTTTATACCTAAAAATAATAAACAAAGACTTTTTTTTATTGGTAAAGCTTTATAAAACCGTTAAAAATATTTTAAAACACCAAAAATTAAAACAAGATCAAAATAGCCATGATCAACATACCTTGATTGGAATAATGCCTTGAGATCCAACACCAACCGGAATGTGATCAAACAACGACTGTGCTAACGTTTCTTTATACGGTAAGACGTCTTTTTCGCTCAAATTTGTCCGAATTAACCGCACACCACAGTTTATATCAAATCCAACACCTCCTGGAGATACCACAGACTCTGGATTTTCAACGTCAAAAGCAGCTACATTACCGATCGAAAATCCGTAGCCCGAATGAATGTCGGGAAGGCCAATGGAATTCTGAAACAATATAACGTTACCATTATGTCTTTTTGAAAAAATAAAGCGTTTACTGTCGGCTTGTAAAATAGGGTATAATACTGTAACTTTAAAACTATCACAAATTCCGAAATGACTTTAACTGCCTTAGTTAACGCTGGATCTTATCCAACTTCATGCAATATTTCAAGTCTCTATCTAACATTTCAAAAAAGTTATAACCAAAACCATGCAATTGACCTAGGGCACATATTAACATTAAGCACAATATCACATGTTTTCCATAAGAGCTTACCCCAACAATGCCAGGCAAAGAAGCAACATTAGCTATTTGTCGCACAGCAGGCAAAAATCCACCAATACCTCCATGATTCACACACAATTCCAGCTCTTCAAACATCAACGGCTCCAAAGCGCCGTTAACATAAAACCGTCCTTCTACCTAAAATATGAAAAACCCAAAATAAATTAACTTACATTCATATTCGGTACAAAACCTTTTCGAATTGCAAAGGAAACATCAGTGAGACGTTGAATGTATTCGACTTCTTCTTGGTATGTTCGAGGCATCGTCGAAAACAGCTGTTATATTGAAGATTGACCAGAACAGCTTTATAGAAATTAAATAAAAGTATAAATAGATACTAATAAACAAAAAATAGTGATATTACTAGTAAAATTGACACTATTATGATGAAATACCTATTTCAATAATTATTTTTCTCAAAAACGTTATTTTCTATATTTATTTTCCTTCCGCAGCCGAAATTCCATGCAATATATTCGTTCTGCAGTTTGCTTTGGCAACTAATCCGAACAAACATGTCCGCGATATTTTATTTGCTTTTCGCTTTATAAAGAACACGTTTTTATGAATGTTGTGTGTAATATAACTAGACAATTGCGTGTTTTGTATTGTATAGACACTTTTAACATTATAAATTTTGAATTTTTTAGCAAAATGACTATCGATAATAAGATTGTTGCTGTTAGGAACAAAGCTCTGGCTCTATACAGGACCAACTTGTAAGTTTCGCTTATTATTTTAGATTTTTTAGACATAAGTTGATTTCTATTAACGAATTGTAGTTTATTTGATTTATAACATCAAAAAAAACTTTACTTGCTGTTGAGGTATAGGTAAGGTAATAATATTATTTTCAGCGCTGAAAGACTTGGATCTCACTTATTAGCTGGTCAGACGGCTCTAATCTTTCGAGATTTTGCTGATGTTGGGACATATAAGTCAGTTGGGTAAGTTTTTCACTTTATTTTTGTTTTGTCTTTAGAAACGTCAAGCTGTTACCTAAAATAGTATAATCTGTGCCGCAGAAGACCCAATTGTCTTCTTTCAGAGACTTACTAAAGTATTTCCAAGAAGAAGGAGCCTATTTATGTTCGCTTTATCCATCAGAATTCGTGCTTCGAAACATTCTGTGTGCAGCGTTGAAGATCGTGCGAGAAGAAGCTCAACGATTGGCTTCAGGGAACGACGATCTGAACTCTTTTGATTCGCTGACGAAGCTGTGGATAGATCCGAAGAATTCGAGGTTGAACGTGAACAATGATGAGCTCAGGAGAGGCGTTATGAGCTCTTTGGAAGAGTTTTCGTCAGAAATGAAGTCGACTAGGCGAGAGATTGCCAATCAAGCTGTTAATCACATTCTGCCAACGGATACTGTGCTGACCTATCAGTTTAGTGCATCTTCTACTTTAAATGTAAGGTTTTGAAGGGTTGATTGTTATTTTGATGGGGGAGTGATAGTGTTTTAGTTTAAAAAAAAATTTAACGGACATTCTACTTGAACTTAAGGCACTATCGGATCTTTTTGATTATATCTTTTATGATAGGATAGCTAGGGACCTGAAACTTACTGAAATTATAGCGTGTTCTTTTTGTCAACTAACCTAATTTACAGAATTTTAAAGTTAGGTTTTATTTTAAAGTTACAGTAGTTCTACCGTAGCTTACTTGAGAAATTTGGATGAAATATTGAAAAAGCTTAAAGATACGTTGTAAAAAGCATTATACTACGGTTTTAGCGTTTATAAATTACTACTAAAGTCATTTTCTTAAAATTTTAGGCATTTTTTGAAAAGTCAAAGTGCTGCATTCTGTCAGTGGATGATAAGAAGCTGATTGCTGAACCGAATGTCAAGGCCAATTTTACTCCAATGGAGGATGTGTTAACAGTCATGACACAAGTTACGAGAGTAGTATTGTCAGCTGTAGCTGTGCTTCCTGATGGGTCTTGTGTGTTACCGGCTGGTAAGGGATTGTTACCTTTGAAATTCATTGCTTTGTTGATGACTTTTTGGCCTTATTATTGACCCGGTCGATAATTTTTTGGAAACTTTTAGAACTTAAGGTTGTACATGTTATACGGCGGCTGTTTTTTTTTAGATTTTGATTAATAATAATTATCGAACGGTCGATAATTTTCTAGAGCTTTGTTTTTCGTTTTACACTTTTTTAGTCGATTTTTGAATTTTAAAGCTAATTTTTTAAAATTTCTAGGTTCCTTGCCAATTTGCCTTGCGGCCGAACGCCACTCAGTACCAGTACTAGTCATTGGAGCCTTTTACAAGTTTACGCCCATCTTCTTGCCCAATGTTGACGACTTTAATGCGACCACGAACCCGGCCGGAGCTCTAGGAGATGAACATGAACTGCTGGAACGACCCAACTTCAGTGTAAGGAACCCACTTTTTGACCATATCCCAAGCAAGCTGGTAACATTGTATGTCACTCAGTCGTCCGCCGTCTCCCCGCCTCATGTGTATCGTCTGTTGGGAGAGTTTTACCATCACGAAGACTTGTACCACTTTAAGGTTTGATTTTTGGGGTTTAATGGTCTATAGTGCCAAAGATGGTACTAAACGTTGAGTTGATGCTTCGTTTTTGAAAGTAGTACTTAGGGACGTGGCTAGGGTGGTGAATAGGGGTGGATTCACCCACCCGTCACCTATTATAAAACAAGTATGTAGCGACGTCCCTGTTGGTACTAATTTTTAATTATTATTTTAATAAGTCGTACTAAATAGTACTAAATTTCATACTGCATAGTCTTTTTCATAACTTTTATCTTTAGCGTGACGATTTTCAAATACAAATTAGTGACGAGCTGTCCAAGTTCCTCAAAAAGTGATGTTCGTCTGTCTGCTTACAAGCCTTTACCAACATACATTCATTCGAATGTCTATCATCATTTCTTTTGTTTTCTATTGTTGTGCATATCGGGTATTTCGGATAAATATTCTTGTTGTTACTTTCGATATTGATTCATGGCTGTGAGCCAACTTTTGAATTTGAAACGCCAAAATTTTCATGCCCCACAAGCAGGGGCGGGCGGGGACTTTTGGTCTGGGAGCGGGGGTCGAAAAAATTTTCGAAAAAACCACAGGGGGGGGGGACCACTTTCAACTTTTTTCAAAAAATTTTTTTTCTGCGGGAGGGGGGTCTCCCCCTCCCCCTTTCCCCCAGCGCCCGGCCCTGGCTACAACGATGATTCCGGCTCCAAGAACGATTGGACCCCAAACAGAAATGTACCTTGAAATTCCAAGGGGTGTAAGGTTTTGTTAAAAAAAACTATTTACATATAACACGCGAGGTTTATACTTTTCTGATTTATCGTGGACAAAACCGTTCAATTCTTGTCCGCCAAAAAAATCTCATAATTATATGTGATCCCTCTTTTTGTCTGATTGCCGTCGGAATTAGAGAAAAACTAGAGAACGCACGAAATTTTGAGATTTTTTTGCTGGAAAATTGGTCTGATTGCTAGGGCTCATCAAGTGGTTCAGGTAAGGGTTTGTAGAGTTTTGAACTGATTTTTTAAAAATATATTTTGAGGCACTTTTTTGAATAAATTTAATTGTTTTTTATTAAAACTCAATTTTAGGATGGCTAACAGTTCTTTGCGAAATGATCACTATCTTCTCTGCCTCATATTACTGGGCTCAGTTTGACATGTCGGTGCCATGATGAATGTGGATGAAGGTCTGATCTGCTCGTTCACCATCTTCAGACCTACGACAAAAGCTGTCCGTTTGTCGTTACTATCACTACAGGGACAATTCAAACGCGATCACTAACTATTGGTATTTTTATAAATTTCTTTGAATACAGATGTTTTTGTACGTTTTCTAGTTCAAAATATGTTTATAAAAATATATTTCGTGATAAAATTGTAATATAAACTATCACTATACAAAATATATTGTTCGCTTTTCATAATGCAAAATTTACAATTCAAAACCATTAATAATGAAAAAGGTTAGAATATTTTTTGTCTCACAATAAAAGAAAACGTATTTCACGCTCAGACATCTTCTTATTACACTTTATTAGTACTTCTGGTCCACTTTCCATATGCAAAAAAAGTAAAAATAGCATGCACGCACTGAGATTCGAACTTGCAGTGACATTTCCAAAAAGTAAAAGCATTAGCCACTCGCCCACCTGACCACGCCCTCTCATTTATTACTTTCTCTTCATGGCCCTTTGAGAATTTGATAGGAAAACGGTGCTAACTTCAAACGGCCATAAATCGGTAAAAACAAATATTTAGCAACTTTTGAAAACAGATTCTGAATTAAGATAATCACAGAATTTTTCTGAGCTGAAATACGTGGCTAATCGTTTGGTTTTGAGGCTTTTCTTGTGAAAACAAAAATTTCATCAAAAAGCGGCAGGTTCAAAAAACAATTCGAAAAGCCTGTGGGCTGCAGCAATTTCGCGCCAAAAAACTTTTGAAATTTCGAAGACAAAGATGCAGAGAAATTTAATCTCTCGCCTACCGCGCAACCCACTCATTTATCGACCAAACAAATATCTAAAATCAGTGAAAAACAACTGTTTCTTCAGCCATGAACGAGCTTCGCAATGAGCTTGGGCTGCTCCCCTCTGCGGGATGGGCAGAGGTTCAAAGATCCTTCAGACGAAGGGTCTTTGAACTTCACCCTGACCGCAGTGGTGGAGTAGCCGGCGCCGGGTTGGCCGAGCTAACCCGGTTGTTCAATCTTGCAAAAGATGAACAACCGGAGGTGCGAAGCCGGCCCGGTTTAACTCCGCATTCAGCTGGTTGCCCTTGGGCACCACAAAAGCTGAGGGAGCGCTTTGAGTCGGCTAACACAGTCGCTCAAAGGAAGAAGGCCAGGGTCTTCTTCGCCAGAGCCTTCGTCAAGAAGGCGGCCGCTTCTACTTGCACATGCGGTTATTTTGATAGCTAACTTTTTCTAACTAAAAAAAGTTAGCTGATAAAAAATAATCAAAATAAAAGTTTGAAAATTCGAGCAATTGGGACCCAACCAAAAGTTTACCCGTTTTATGAGTGGGTTTGATTGTGGGCGAGAGAGGAGAGACAAAAGAACGAGAGAAAAAAAAGAAGAGTTCTCTTGCTTTTCGCGAAAAAAATTGATTGCATAAAGAATCATTTGCCGTAACCGGATAAAAAAGATTCAATGAATCGCAGAAATTAAATGCAAAACAAAAAAGCACCATAATTTAACATTTTCAATTTAAGGCTTAAATAACAGTAAACTTTTTTGTGGCTATCCATCGTTTACATATCTTGTATGATATAGTACACGTATACTTTGTTACCCTGTAGCGTAACGAATAACTGAGCTACAGAGACAGTCGATACAGATTCTGAAAGCCCATTAAAAATAATGTTTAAATTTTTAATTTAAGGCTTAAATAACAGAAAACTTTTTTGTGGCTATCCATCGTTTATATATCTTGTATGATATAGTACACGTATACTTTGTTACCCTGTAGCGTGACGAATAACTGAGCTACAGAGACAGTCGATACAGATTCTGAAAGCCCATCAAACGTAGAGTTTAAAAATTTTAATTTAAGGTTTAAATAAACACACATTTACTCGAGTGTCTATCATCATTTCTTCGTTGTCTATTGTTGTGCATATCGGGTATTTCGAATAAATATACTTGTTGTTACTTTCGATATTGATTCATGGCTGTGAGCCAACTTTTGATTTAAAACCCCAAAAGTTTTATGCCACAACCAGGAGCGGGCGGGGGCTTTTGGTCTGGGGGCGAGAGTCGAAAAAAATCGGCACGGGTAGCTAGCTACCTATGCCGGTTTTTCGCAAAACAAGTTTTCGAAAAATTCACAGGGCCACTTTTAACTTTTTTTTTAAATTCCCCCCCGCAGCGCCCGGCCCTGGCTACAACGATGATTCCGGCTCCAAGAACGATTGGACCTAAAACAGAAATGTACCTTGAAATTCCAAGGGGTGTAAGAAATTTTGTTAAAAATATTTATTTGAAATTCTCTGATCTAGTGGTATCTTTTGTAATAGCTTCAACTTTAGTCACTGATAAGTGGGGTTCCCAGAATTTTCGTAAAATTTGTCGTCGAAATGATGGTAAGATTAGTAGAACGGTCAAAGCATCGAACAATGGTGAAATTGCTGGTCCAACACCTAGTGCCAATGAGGTATAACTCATTAGATCAGCTGGTAGGACATTCAGGGCAAATAACAAATTTGGGAATAACATAAAGATAAACGGTGGCACTGTCTGAAACGGCAATAATCGTCATTGGAATTTAAAATTTCAAAATTTTGACAAAATTTCAAAACTAAAAAAAATTTTTAAATTTTAAAAAATGCCATATTTAATATCACCTCAAGTATAAAACTGATTTTACCTGTAAAATAAACAAAATATTGACACTTTTGTTCATTTGCCTTGTCTTCAAAGCCATTTGCCTGACATTTACATTGTAAATTCGAAAGGACTGCACTGCAAAGTATAATAACAACAAAAATATTATACATAGTCCACCTTGACCATAGATGTTGTGAATTTCAAATCCTACTGTGTTCTGAAACAAAATTAACGTTAATTTTTTCAAAAAGATTTTTTTTTATTTTTTAATTTTGCACGGTGCAATAGTACTAATTTTGGCTTGCACCGTGCAGATTTACAAAATTTTTAAAATTTCAAAAATATTTTAAAAATTAACTGATAATTTCATAACCAACACATTTCCAAACTAAACCTACTTTATAAACCACGGTAACCGTCGGCAACTTGGTACTATTACATCCATCAGCTCCTCCATAGATAGCATCATAATATTGTGCTGGATTACTGTCAAAATCCCAAAAATACCAAACGGCATTCGACATGCTGAACAACAATAGAATACAGTATGCTATACTAATTTGAAACATTGTGACACTTTCGTCCTTTAGAGCACGATAACGATAAAAGAACTGAACAGCTGGTATACCTCCATGGAAGTAAACGACGAAGTAAGTTAATACTACTCCAAACTCTTGAAGTGATTTAGAGCTGTAGAAGAACAAAGGGGTTACTGTGAAGTAGTAGTAGTAATCTAAAGTTGAGATCGGGCGCTGAAAAATGTTTGTTAAGGATATTGTTGTAGGTAACGGGGAAAATGAAGGTCAGCTTGTATTTTTTGCCATAACTTTTTTGAATGACTAGGTAACCACATGACATTTTAAGCGTTTGTAAACGAGATAATTGGCTAGCTAATTCAAAAAAGAAGTTTAAACATTTGCAGCCGTTATTAAGTTACAGTAATTTTACCGTACTCATGCATAGTTCTTAAGCGCAAACCGGACCTTTTAACCAAAAAAATATTTTTGGGTAATAAATCTCAAACCTACAGTTATAAACTAAACCTAGCCTTGCTCAAAGATTAGATCATCTACTAAAGCAGAGCTTTAGAAGAAAAAAAATATTACGAAAAAGTTGAACGTGGTCCCCCTGTTGATTTTTCGAAATTTTTTTTTGGCGTTTTCTCTCCCTTCTCTCTCTTAACCTCACCTACCTAAATTTACCGTCCAACGCTGCCTACATTCTCAAAAATTTATAATTGTCAAAAGTGATCTTACCTGTCCAACAATGCATCTAGTAAGGGTGAAGCATATATTGAAGAATGAGTCTAGCCCAATAATTTTAGCGTATGTTCTCATTTTACTGGTTTGTTTTACACTCAAATAGATTACAATCGAGTTGAAAAGTAGTGAAAAAGCACCAGCAATGTAGTTGAAATCATTGTGAAAATGGTGAATTGAGTCGACACTACACGGTATGTTGAAGGTTGGGTCTAACATGTTTTAATATCTTGGTGTTATACACAATATCCTGGGGTTAAATGTAGAACTTGTAGATATTGTAGTAGGCAGGAAGTTCGTACAATGACTTTATATTATACTGGATTTACTGTCAAAGCAAAGTGACTATATTGCAGTAGTTTCTAATGCCAAAACTATGTGTAAAAATTGCTATATTGTAGTTGTAAACTTCAGTGCAAACCACGAATAACTCAATATATTGTAGTAAGTTGTACTATACTTTAGAGCAATGAACCAAGTGGTAAAAAAAGTGTAGTTTGTTGTAATGTTACAAAATGTAATATTTAGAGCAATTGGCTATGAAAAGTTAAAATTGTAGTTTGGTAAAAAATAGCTTTAGCTAGAAAAGTCTTGTCGTCAATATCAATGGATTTGTAGGGCTAAAAACGACAAAACTTTTATATCACTGTAAACTTTAGGACTAGGTGGAGTAGAATGGATTTAGTAAACAATAAGCTTCTTATCAACCAATTTTAAGTTTATTTTAAAAGCTACACATCCAAAGTTTACTTTAAACAATGAACCAAAGTCTATATGAATAAAGATTCTAGATGTACGTACATGTACATAAACCAAAGAACGACGCATCAAGACTACAAATGTTGCACGGGAAAGTACTTAATGAATCAAAATGTAGGTTGAAATTTCTCATGTTTTTTAATGTACTTATCGGGTTTTCTTTCAATGAGCTATTGGCACGTTCGCACGATGTTACAGTATCGTGCAAGTGAGTACTATGATGTTTAGTTAAAATCAAAGATAATAAAAATGAAAATAAAATCATCTTTTCTTATCAACAGTTTATTGTTATAGTCAATATATTGCAAATTGTAATACGTTACTTTCTAAAGCACGCGCAGCCTGCAGCCTCGCTATAGCCAGCTGCGCCCAATTAAAATAAAAACTTCAACTTTGGGCCGCTTTGTTTTGGGGGCCCTGCGGCCCTCGCACCGAATCAATTTTTGGTTGAAGAGAGGGCCCTTGCTCTAAAATAGTCGAAAACCATTCGATTCCCTCAGGATTCTGGGCCCTCGACATGAGGAATGTAAGAATAACACTTATATTTGGCGTGTCGACGCTTTAAACTTGGATTTTTAGATGGTACACAGCTTGGGAACTGGCCAGAACTGGTGGTAATAGTTTTGTTACATCTATATCTGGCTTTTACTGACAATAATCGTTCGATATTTTATTGAATTTCGTTTGTTTTTGCTTGGTGTTTCGCTGGACTAGGATAATATCAAGAGGAGACGAAGGGAATCACTGGTTTTTGCAAGGGACCGCAAGGTTTTATGGAATAACCTTAAATAAAAAGCTTCAAAGAGCCCTTGACATTCAATTTTATTTAAGTAAGTCTTGTATTTGGTTTAACTGTGAAGATTTTAAAGAAAATCCAGCTAAATCATGGACAAAGACGTAAGTTTGGTGAATTTTAATTTTTTAGGTAACATTTCTTGACAAATATTTTACGTTTGGACGTTTTTTAAAAGAAAACATTCTTGGTTAGCTGAAAAAATAGTTTGGGTTACAAAAATTTTGTTTTATTTTTATGTAGAGATCAATAATGTTCACCAATATTATATCATAATGAAGGTCAAAGAAATTGCTGTATTTTTGTAAATCTTTGTAAACTTAAGCTTATTTTTGAATTTTCTTAATTATAAGGTATTCTATTTTATAAATTGACAGCGTTTTCATTTTAATTAGCATAGATTTTAATATAACCATCAATTTAATTAACTATAGTCATGGATAATATAAATTTTTAAAGTTAACTTTGATTTTTTTAGTTTTTTGGTGTTTTTTTTGGTTTAATTATGAACATAATTTTAGAAACTAGGCGTATACAATCACTTTGGCTTCTTCCGAAGCTACGAAGAAGCCTATGAGTCCGTCAAACTTGAGTACAGGTATCAGAAGACTTTGAGGGATAAGAATGTTCGAGTTTATCGGTAAGCACTTCAATTTTTTGTATGAAAAGGTAAAGGAAAGGAAAATATAAAGCTGTATTTTTAATTTTTTTGATTTTTAAAACTAGGTTTCATTAAAAGAGGCAAATCAGTCTGCACAGTACAAGTTATGGAAGTTGATTGCACCGTGCAAAGAAAAAATCCAGGAAAACGAAATTTTGGTTTTAATTTTCGAGTTTAGATGCCGTTCCCATCGTGGTAACAAATGTAATTCCACGGTGAAGATTGTTGCTCATCCAGATGGTCAAATTGAAGTTGGCAAAAGGTTTCCTCATAGTCATGGAGTAGGTTTAAACTATGTTTTAGTTGATTATATCTAATTTCTGAGCTTGAAAACATTGGAAAATTAATGACAAGGATATTATCGATGTTTTGTGATATTTTTAAAGTTGTTTTTAAGGCGTTTTAGGCTTAAATTGGGGTTTTTTATTCATCAAAAACTGATTTTTTTCTTTTTTAATCAAAACATCTCTTCCAGATGGACATATTTGACAATATATGGGGCAGAAACTATCGAAAAAACCTTCCAGAATCTAGTAATGCGGCCGAGTTTGTTTATAAACCATCACCAAAAGAATACCCGGAACCTACTATAACATTGAATGAAAAGGCGCCAAATGACTTAAATGGCTTTGTAGATTCTACTTTAATATCACAAGATCCAAACTGCAATATCAACAAAGAAAAAGAAGATAAACGGTCGAAGCTTATCAAAATTAGGCGTGCCAGGGGGCCGAGAGGACCTTATAAGAAGAGTAAGTTGATCTTATTTATCTTTCTGAGGTCTTGCTGGTGGTTTTTGACCAATATTGTTTTAGAAAACAAGCTAATGATCCCAGAAAGTAATGGAGTGAGCAGTTCTGAACATTCTATCAATTTACTGGTTCAGTCTCTACAACAAGATCAAGAACAACCGGTCGATTTTCAACGGGAATCGTGCTCAGAAGGAGAATCTGGATTTGATGTAGAATGTGGATTGGCTCCAGAATCTATATTTGGTTCAAAATCCGGCCTTTCTTCAAGATTTGGATTATCTACAGAATCTACGTCGACTTCAGAATCTAAATTGGCTTCAGAAGTTAGTTTGGCTTTAGAATCTCGAGTGAAATCAGAAGCTAGATTGGCTCCAGAATTCCGAGTGAACTCAGAATCTAGATTGGCTTTGGAGCTAACGTTGCCTACAGAGTTTGCCATGACTCCAGAATCCAGCTTCATATTAGAATCTCATCAAGAAGAAGTTGACTTATCAGGCGCTGCTAATGATACTCATTTTGATCTGGTTTTAAGTGCAGTAGATGAGAATCTAAGATTGAAAAGGGAAAACGATGAATTAAGAGATGAATGTAAGTTTTTTTGGGTATTTTAAGTAATGGCATTACCGTACCATGCTTATAAAAAAATTTGCCACTTGTAGCGCCGTCCTCGTCTACATACTCTTTTAATACATTATATATCCTTGTTTTATTTATATACCTGCTACCTTCTGGCTATAACGATGTATAAAACTTTTATCATTGCAGTGAACAAGCTCAAACATCGATTGAAACAAATTTCTCAAAGCAACGATTATTTAAAGGACGAGAATGCTCGTCTTAAACTGCAGTTGGTCAACCGACATGAGGTTTTGTAATTTCTTCTTTATGTTGTTGTAGCCAACTTGAAACTTCTTCAAATTGGAGCTGAAAGGGTATCTAGTCATATTGGCTAATATATGGGAGTGTATCTAGTCATCTTGTCTATATACAAAAGATATTGAATAATTTATCCGCAACATGCAGAAAACGACCGGTAAAGTTTTGTCACAGAACTTTTGGCGCACTTTGTATATGAAATATGGGTCTAACCTCTCCTCTCCTCAATTAAATTTATAAAAAATCTGTAGCTGAGTGTCTATGGGTCATTAAATAATAAATTAATATATTGATAAACTTATCAACCAAAGCACGATTTATTTGAGTAGTCAACGATAATAATTTCTTATTATACATTGTTCTGAACAGTGTGTAACAAATTGATCTAAATTTAAAAAAGCAAGCTGTTTTTGAAGGTCTGACAATTTACAAACATACATTATGTTATGTTTGCCAACTCTAGTGCCATATTTTGCGAATTTTCACGAAATTTTTAGGAATGAAACTGGCTGAGCAAGTCTTTATATTTATCACAATATGCTTGAGTGTGTTGACAATATTCGGCTTGGTACTCGAAGATTTTCTTGTAGAAGTCGATCATGCAATCGGTGTCGAGATCGGGTTCTGACACTCTGTCGCGGTAGGTCTGGAAGGTTTTGATAAAATGGTGAAAACGACATTAAAATGGTATATTTGGTACATGTGGGTATTGAAGTTTGATAGCAAAATAAAATTTCAAACGTATTAGGTTGTACAAAAAGTAATGAGCTACTGAACTGTATGGTAACTTCTAAGAAGTAACTACCACTATGCCTAACCATGAGAAGGGTTTGGGCAGGGGTAAAATGGGGTAAGTTTAAGTTTAGGGCAGGGTAGGACATAAATGGTAAGGGAAAATAGGGTAGATATACTAAGGTAGACAAAGGTAAAGTATAGTAAAATAGGACATATTTAAGCAGGATGGGGTAGGATAGAGTACGTTGGTATGGTAGGGTAGGATAGAGTATGTTAGAGTAGTGTATGTAGGGCACATAAGGTAGGGTAGGGTAGGGTAGGGTAGGGTAGAGTAGGGTAGGGTAGGGTAGGGTAGGGTAGTGTAGGGTAGGGTAGGGTAGGGTAGGGTAGGGTAGGGTAGGGTAGGGTAGGGTAAGGTAAGGTAAGGTAAGGTAAGGTAAGGTAGAGTAAATTATGATATGAGACCATAGAGCAGGGTAAAGTAGGGTGCGGTAAAGTAGAATTTTGTTTTTATAACTTACCTCAAGAAGTTGATTATTGTCATCCTTGACATCTTTACATTCATTTTTCTGTCTAATATCATCAGAAGTCTTAATATAAGTCAACCAAACATCGTACAGATTGTCACAACAAATTAGCCCTAGAAGTGATAACAATATAACAAAAATCTTCATGTCACAATAAAAAGGTTTCTTTTATTGGCCCATTTGTTTTTATAGCGACAAGTATCATATCAAAGAGGTGGTTTATAATAGTAGATTGGTCATGTATAACATTAGACTGACATGACATTATAAATTTAGTTTATTGGCTTCAAAAGATCATTGTCAAGGTGATTAGCTTTGTAAATTATGCAAATTTAGCTTGTTTATCGAGGTTTGCTTTTGCTGACTATACATGTATGAGATATTAATTGTTCTGTTATGAGCAGAGATGGGCGGGTGATTTTGGTTTAGGGAGGAAAGGAGGATAACAATATTTTTTTGGCTTTATATTAACAAGGACATCACTTTAAACATATTTTGAAAATTTTTTTTGGAGGTGATTTTATCCCGCCCAAAATTTTTTTCTTGAAAATCGTTTAAAATTTCTCTACGAAATTACTTTGTTTGCAAAAAATAAAAAAATAATTTTTGGGAAGGGGGGGTCAATTTACTTACCCGCCCAAAATTTTTTTTTAAAAAAAAACTCGAAAAGTGATACCCTACCTTACTCTGTTTAAAAAAATTTAAAAAATTTTTTGTTGTTTTTTTCTTTGCCTCTCCCTCTCCCTCTCCCCCCCCTCTTTGAAACGAAAAAATCAAAAAAAATTCTACTCTAAACCAAAATCAACCCGCCCATCACTAGACATCATATGAATATTGCAGTACTCGCCCATTATAGGCTAAGAAAATACATTCATTAGCAAAGCAATGCCAAAAACCCGCCCAAAATTACTAATAAAGGGTTGTAGAACCTGTGCAAGAAATGCAATAATCAGAGTTCGCGCATGGCTGCGCGTTATTGTTTTTGTTTATTCAAAATAAAAACCGGAAACCGCCGAGATTTTCACAGAATTATGCGCAATGAACAACAATTTATGGCCGTATTTAAAGTTTTTAAAATATTTTTTTTTTAAATTAGGTAATATTTGGCGCGTGTAATGTATTTTTAATTTCTAAAAATGGTGATTTTTGGCTATTTTATGTTGTTTTAAATAGCTTATGTTAATAAAAATGGTTAAAAAACCTACACTGCTCTATCATACCCCAGTTTGCTCTACCTTTGTTTTACCCCTGCCATACCTTCGCCTTACCTTCGCCTTACCTTCGCCTTACCCTAGTCCTACCCTCGCTCTACCCTTGCCATACCCTCGCTCTACCCTTGCCTAACTCTCGTCCTAACCTGGCCCTCGTCCTAGACGAGAGTAACAAAAAATGGGTCCAGCCCGGCCCGATTTAAGTTTTGCGCAATGCCGGCCTGGCCTGAATTTTGTACGTACAAACCGGCCGGGCCGGGTCTTGATTTTCAGACGGGCCCCAAACTAAATTTGGGTTAAGGCTGGTCTCAACCTAAATTCAGGACAGGCCCGGCCTGCTTGGTCCCTTCCTCATGTCTAGCCCTCGCCCTACCCTCGCCTTATTCCCGCTCTGCCCTCGCCCTACTCTCGCCCTTGCCCTACCCTCGCCTTATCCTCGCTCTACTCCCGCTTTACCGTCGCTCTACCCTCGTCCTTCGCTGCCGGGCCCTACTGTGTTTTACTCTGACCTACATATTCTGCTTTACCTTGCTTTAACTGACCTACCCTACTTTACCATACCCAAAATTTTTGAAGATCAGTATTTGTGCTTTGGTCATTAACGAATTTTTTAAAAATGTTTTGGTTTTTAAAATTAATATGTTCAAAGTAAAGTAAAAGCCCATTTCTAAATATCATAACGAGTAGTTTAACTAATTTTGAGGACAGATTTGAAGCAGCCGTTAGTCATTGAAGTAAAAATGCCCACTGGTCTGATCCTTGAGTCATTCTTCTTTGGCTTCTGGCGGTTCTAAAATTTCAGTTCTTGCGGCGTGGGTTTTATAACTTGTAAAGAGAGTATTACTAACCTTGGTTTTACTGATTTTTTAATTTTAAATTTGTTTTTATGAGGGGGGGGGGGGTTATAGGATAGGGTATACTAAGGTAAAGTGGAGTATGGTAATGTAGGTTAAAGAAGGGTGAGGAAGAGTAGGGTAGAGAAAGGTAAGTAAGGTGAGGAAAAGTAGGATAGGGTAGGGTAAGGTAGGTTAGGGTAGTATTGAAGACAGAAACTGAAGAAACAAGTCAGAAAGTTGTCCTTGTTTGGCTGAAAAATAAATATTCGTCTCTAACGTTGCGCACTAATCTCTTTTCCCGTTTAAACCGCTTTGAGCTGAACAAAATTTGAGCCAAACGTGTTGAAAAGATTAATATGAAAAGTTTTGTCGCTATAGATTTTTTGGGAATTTGTATAAAAATGGAATAGCGTAGCTTCAGCCTTAGTTGTAGCGCAATACCTAGCCTTGCCTTGCCTTGCCTTGCTTTAGCTTAAGAAACCCTTTAACCTTAGCCTGAGCTTCTTAAGGTCCCTAACCATGTACAGGCTCTAGAGTCTAGACCTTGTAGATCTAGCTTAGGCCCTAGCTTTAGACCCTTAGCATTTTAAGAGCCCAAATCAGCCCTAGCACAGACTCTATCTCTAGCGCAGGGACCGAGCTTTAGTTCTTGTTTTAATCTTAGCTTCACCCCAATTGTTCTAGTAGTTCAATGCTTGTTTTGCTTTATTATAATTTACTCTAGACATACTATAATATAATTAAAAGAGTTGAAATACCTTTTGGTTCATAAACCTGCTCGGCCCCGGACCCTGGCGCTGGCTTTGGCTCTGTCCTAGACTTATTTTTAGCCCTGCCATGTCTTATCCGTTCCACAAAAAAAATATTTTTTAACTTTTATTGTAACAATTTTCGACGTTTTGTACTCTCGAAAAACCCGCGTTTTGACGTTTTTCGTTTGGCTCGAGTTTCGCATTCAAATCAAGTCCGAGGAGAGTTTTCGAGTAAAAAAAAGCAGGAAAAGGTTGAAATGCGAAAAACCGTTATTTTTGAGCGAAAAATTGAAAAAAGTAAGTGAAAAAACGTGTTGACAAGTTTTGGGCCGAGTACTCTCCAGCCCTTCAGGGGATATAGTTTTAAGCACATTATGATTAATTATTATTTAATGGCGTTTCCACGACATTCTGAAAGGAATGGCAAGCACGACTTATGTCAGGCTTGTTTCGGGGGGGGGGTGGGGTAAAATCTATTTTTTATATTTTTAAGGGGTGGGGAGGATAAAGGAAGAAGAAAGAAGATAAAAAAATGTTTGGGGGGGGGAATTTATCTAAAAAAAATTTTTTGAAACGGCAGGATTTTAAAAAAAATTTATATTTTTCAATTGGCGATAGCACAAATTTTCTTTCCAAAGCTGAAAAAAGCAAGAACTTTCTTTAAAAATCGTAAAATGGCAAAAACTTTCTTTACAAACCATAAAATGGCAAGAAGTTTCTTTAAAAAATGAAAAATGACAAGAACTTTCTTTACAAGTCAAAAAATGGCAAGAATTGTTTTTACAAACCATAAAATGGCAAGAACTTTCTTTACAACAAAAAAAATTTATAAACTAATTTTGAAAAAATTTTAAAAGTTTTGAATTCTCTAATAATTTCCCGTTGACATGCCAAACCAGATTTCCAAAACTTTTTCGAATTCTAATGAACTGAAAGAGCGGCCAAAGGGGAAGGGGGGGGGGAGAAGAATGTCACTCAAAAAAATGTTTGATTAATGCGAAAGAATGAAACTTGCTTCTGGCACTTAAATTAAGCCAACTTTATGAATTATACACACGGGTTGGTTTATGAGTTTTACATATTTTTTTAAATTCTTTTAATTTTTAAAATTTTTTTGAAACTTTTTTTTGAGATAGTGCTTAGGCGCGCTAGGAATAAGTTTGTGGGGGAGATTAGGATTTTTAAAGTTTATAGAGATAAAGCTTAAGGTAAAGCGTATAATCAAGGTTGTTTTGGGGTCGGGGTTCTTTACTGTTGGAAATGAGTACGGTATTTTAATTAAAAATTGGTGTTGTTCGTAGGCTAGGAAAGGAATATTTTTAGGATAGGATTGGGGTAGTTTTAAAGTGATTCTTGAGGGTCGTCTTGGGATAGGAAAGGGCTATTTTGAGGATACAGTAAAAATTGTTTTACAGTACATTTTGGGACCGTATTGTGCTAGTAAATTGTTGTCTTAAGGGTAATGTAAGTGTAGTTTTAAAGTAAAGTTTAAGGGGCGTTATGAGCTTTTGTGGTAAGAAAACGCGATTGGTAGACAACTTTTGAATAGGGACAATTTTTAGAGTGAGCAGGTTACCCGTTAACGTCGAAAGCTACTCTTTCAAAAAGGCAAAATAGTAAGTTAAGGTAAGGTATGATAGGGTATTATAGGGCAGGGTAAAGAATTTTTATCATTTTTATCGTTCGTTAAACTTCGTTATTTATTGTATAATTTTAAATCCCAGCACACGCTGAAAGAAGGTGTGAGTCAGATTGTCGAAGTTTAAGCGGTTTATACTTTCGTTTTTGTTTTGTTTTAAATTTGTAATGGCACAGAGCTTGTGGTCAGTTGTTTTTTAGTTTTTTATTTTTTAATTAAAACCAACTGTCCCACGTATTTTACAAAAATTAGACAATTTTTAATCAATTTTTTTAAATGCTTGAAATAAGAGTGCGATACCAAACTATTTCATCTTTCCTGAGTGTTATTATACGTTACGTTTTGAAATATGCATTTTGTAAAATACGCTATATGCTGGAGCTTTATAAATTTATTGGCTAGTCTTAATTGGAATTTTGATTTAATTGGGAAGTTGTTTTTAAAACTAGCCAGACTAAAGCCCATCCGCCTGTAAAATTACAAAAAGTACAACTTCTAAGCCTTGTTTCACGCTCAAATTCACTTTTATTTTCTTGTTTGACATTACTTTTTACTTCTTTTTTTGGTTTGGTTCAAGCGGAAACTTTTTTTGAAGAAAACGGCCAAAAGTAGGTGGATATGGCCGTTTATAGGTGAGTGAACTTGTCTGGGGCGTTATATAAAAATTTTTAAAAATTGGATTTTTTTGCTTTGTAAAGAAAGTTCTTGC